AATTCTATTCAGTTTATTTCTATAGCTCCAATTCATATTGTAGCGACTACCAACCACCTTTTTGTCGCTTGCGGGTGCGGGGAATCTGGGATTTAACACGCTTAAAAGAGGAGATGGAAACCAGGATATGAGGTATGGGCGTTCCCATTTATTGAAGTACGTTTGTATATGAACAAACTTTCCAAACAATCAGAGTAGCGGTCTTTACATCAAGTGAGATGGACAGGTAACTATGGAGAATGTGAAAGATAACAGAGTTTAACCGGAGGACGCAGGCTATTGTGTGCCAAAGAAAGCGGTAAAAACCGTATGACCTCCCGTCACCCAAAACCCTTTCTGCCCCCTCACGTCTTACCTATAAAGCATTCCCCTCCACACCGCCACCAGTGGTAGAGCAGAATATAGGTCACCGCCACCCAAAACAAATAACCCAGAAACAAACCATACCTAAACACCAACAACTATAAATGGCTCCTACACATATCATGTCATCTCAGGTCACTTTCCAGTTCACCAGATCATCCAGTCAGATTGATTCAAAGTTTTCTATCTAAGGAAAACCAGCTGATTGCATCGACTCATTGACTCTTCAGCAATCCCTCACACTAAGCATGCTTGTAGCGACAGTGGAGAGGAAAAACTCCCTTTGAACAGGAAGAAACCTCCAGCAGAACCAGGCTCAGTGTGAGCGGCCATCTGCTGAGGCCCACTGGGGTTACATTTATCACATTTGGCTCATCTGTATTATTATGCTCCATTAAAACATTAATTCTATTGTAATGGATTGTATAATATGTTATATTACATGATTTATAGACTTCATTGACTTCATAATGATGCATTGTAATGGCCCGATTCATTTATTCTAAGTTAAAGTTAACTGATGCTATGAAACAACCAGTGATGAATTTATCTTTATTTTAAAAGTCTTAAGCCGCCCTGAAAATGAGAACATCATCGTTATTCGATGCTGTAGATGCTCTAACTAGGGAGTACCAATATGGCTGCCGGTGGCTTCACTCCACCCTGTACTACCAATGGGCGATCAGCCATCCAGTGAATAAATAGAGATCAGTGGTTCCTCTGAGGAGGTGAGCCATGACAAACAGGTGAATCTCTTCCCCGTAGCTGCAGCTGCTGCCCCCTGGTGGCCATTTTAAATGTACATTAAATGCTTTTTGCTTCCATCTCTGGTTGTGGACCTAATGACATCCGTTTGTTGGTTCTGGGAGTGGATCTAGTTTTCTGATCCGTTTCTCCTCCTCTTTCCGTCTGTCTGCTGCTGATCCTCCTCTAACCTGCAGGCTGCTAACTGCTGGGCTGCTGTTAGAGAGACAGATTAACCCTGAACTGCACAGGAAAACAAGCTGATGAAAACAACAGGATCTGATATTTTGGAGCTACAGCAGCTCAGGATGTTTCTCCTTCAAATGTTCAGCATTTAACAGCAGCTAATGGAAACGTTCAGACTAAACGTTCAACAGATGATTAGATGAAAAAAGTGAATTGTTCTCATCATGAACTCTTCTGCTCTTCCTTCTTCCAGCTGATCCAGACCTTCTCAGAAGATGAGAAACGGCTTCCTGTTCGGATCGGAGATCTGGTTTATTCGCTGACTTGTTTCCCTCCATGACTCTTTGTATTTTTGGGTTGAAGCTTTGAGCAGAATGTCGGAGAGCTGCGCTTTTATCCTGATTTTAATCTGTTTCCTAACGATCAGCTGTTTCTGTTGCTGCTGCAGCTTTATTTCATCTGTTAATAGTTTGTTTTCATTTAAAACAGGAAATAAAAATGTTGAAATAAGCTGTTTGTGTCATTTAGATCATTTCCAAGGTTAAAACATGTTTAGGGAAAACTTTGCTCTTTCATTTGGAATTTAAAGGAAGTCCGGTCAGCGGGAAATAATCAATGGATCATTATTTATACCTAAAACTGATACGTTTGCAGTGATTTAATGAATTTAGCGTTAATCAGTAAAAAAATAATTATTGTCGTCGCAACCACTGAGTCTGGGAGCGGCCATTTTTGCCCAAATATAGTAGCCCCTCCCTCCTGCCATCTTCCAGCAGTGATGTCACGGTGCGGTAAGCCTAGCGCCATTCTCCCCGCTTTCCAAGCTAAATCAATGGGAACTACTAGACACATCTGCAATCAACAACAATTGAAGATTTCCAGAGGACTTCACCATTGAAATTCACCAGAGCTATAGTGAAACTGACAATGCCCACGTGCATGGCAGCTGGATGCTGGAATACATCGGGGAAAAGTGAAAATAAAGAGTTATTCCACCTTTCTGATTCCTGATCCTCCACGGACGGGTTGGTCGTTGGATCGCCAACTTGAAGAGGGAGGATTTGCCATAGAACTTCTGGCCAGAGAAAAAACCCGTAATATGTAGCCAACATTTGGAAGAAGAATGTTTTCAAGATGACTTGGATAATAGCGCGTTGTGACAAACACCAGATACAGCACTGGGACTTGATCAATAGCCGATACCGCACTAACCAGTAGGTGGCAGTAGTGTTCTTTGACAAACATGGATGCCTCCAGTAAAGCACATTCACATGAAAATCACTCTGAATTAAAAACACTGATCATTGATTGAACAGGATGGAATCATTTCAGATTTAAAGAACTTTCAGAAGTTTGGATTCTGAATATGAGCGACTTTTCCTTTAATAAAATGAAACGGCTCTGGATTCCTTTCCTCAGACCAGCATCTTGATGAAACTTCAGCTCACAGAGAAATTTAGTGAGACTCTGTGGAAAACTAGTAAATACAGCAGAAAAACTGGAAGAAAGTGGAAACTTGATCAACTGATATTTAACCAATGCTGTCAGATTCTCTGAGGTTTGCTTTCTTAACGTGGATTCGGGTTTTTCCTTCAGGAAGGTTTAGTCGTAAACAGCTCTAACCTTCTAGAAAGATTCCGACTTTTTCTTCCTGTGGGTTTGAAATGAACGTTAGACTACATGCAGAGCGCCCTCCTCTGGACAAAACTCTGCGCTACATCTACACCTGATGGACAAAGGACATTCTTTGGAGGACCAGAATGTTCACATTTTAGACAAAGTAGACAGGTGGTTTGAGAGGAAGGAAGGAAGCCATCTATGTTAAGAAAGAAAAAACAACCTTAAACAGAGGGGGGGGGCACTCAGATTTCAGCTTTCAAAAACCTACAATGCAGTGATTAGAGTTGATTCCTCCGTGCTATTATTACAGCCCCAACTAGGGATGCAGGATATTGGGATTTTGGCCGATATCTGATATGCCGATATTTTAAAACTCATGTAGCCGATATCGATACTGATGTTAAAGCTGGACAAAAATAAGTAGTCATTGAAAATATCCATTTCTGACACTTTGAAAACTAATATACTCAAATATATTTACATATGCTGATATCAATTTGATTTTTAAAAACGCGGTATCGATCTATTTTACTTTCAAAATCTCGTGAAATTTCATCGTTCTGTTACAAACTCTCGTGATATTTTGCAAATTCTTGTGAGATTTTGTTAGTAAAATAGATCGATACCGCGTCAATATATCAACATATAAAAATATGGCAAAATTTGGTGAATTTCCGGGGGATTTCGTAGCATAACGATGACATATAGCAATATTTCATTAGTAAAAGAGATTGATATGGTGTTTTTAAATGGCAATATATCAGCATATGAAGATATTGGGATATTTTAATGTATCAATATTTTTTCCCTCGTCTTTAGAAGTTTTTAATTCTGTAAAAAAGAAGTTTTTGAGGAAGAAGAAGAAGTAGTATTTATTTATTTTTATTTGATCAGAAGCTGATCAAATATCGGGTTAAATATCGGTGGGGTGGCCGATGTCTGATATTCAGTTTTAAGGCTGATACCGATAGGGGGCCGATTATATTGTGCATCCCCAACCCCTTTACAGGGGAACAGAGCACCTCTCCTATTCAGCCAGGCCAACTATTCCCTCTAATGACCCCCCTTTCAGAGGCATAGACAGGTATGGGGCATTGCAGGCTAACAAAGAAGCCAAACGACCCCCATTCCAAAGGGGTGGACCCGTTCATCCGTTTCTATTTGCATGTTTTCTAAACTAAAACCAGGCTTTGTTGGGCTGCTGGATAAAACCTGGAACTAAACGCTATTTCTGACATTTTGAATTGAAAAATCTTCCTGGATGGAAGAGAAACGTCTTCAAACTTGGAAACAAAGTCCAGAGGATTGATTTGAACTTTTTTGGAATGACTCTGACCTGCATGACTGAGAATCACCAGCATGTCAGACTACAGGCAGAGAAAGTTCTCCAAGTTCTCCTTTCTACACCAGAACCAGCTGACAGTTGATCAGGGGAGGAAACCTGAACCAGCCGCCTGCATCACTCAGCTGTACTGGTTTATACTTGTTTTCAGTCTAACTCTAAACTGGTTTGAACAAAATGGGCAGTTTTATAATTTGAACCTCCTTTTAAACAATAGAACTGCTTTCATGATCTGAGGACGCTGTCGATCTAAAAGCCTGAGTCTGGTCTCCTCAGGCTGCAGCAGGAGCAGCAGGAGGCCATATTCCTGCTGCTCCTGCTGAACCTAAAGGAGCAGCTCAGGAACACCAACCAAGGAGGCGTCCGGCCATCCTCCCCGCATTTAAGGGTTACCACGGAGACCGCAGATGGAGAGCAACATTTGCTCCTTCAGAGACTGAATTAAAAGCAGAGACTGCATCCAGTCATTGACTTGTGAGACATGCTCCTCCTGGATGAGATTGTGGTGATTATTGCTGGCATTTTCTCGTTGCAACTGCAACTGTCAACCAGCTCCACAGGCGGCCCCGTCCAGGAAACACTGTACTGTGCTCAGTTGGACTGATGTCATATTATGTACCTGCTACTCAGCAGTAAACCAATAAAGTCCGCCTCATTTCCAAAGGATCTTTTCTAGGCGTGGAATCTATAATCATTCCAGTTTCAGTTCACAGGTTCAAAGCAGGAAAACCAGTCCTGTCCAACTTCAGCACCATGAAGATTAATTTGAAGTTCATTTTGCTATAAAGAGGACGACCTGCTCCTTGTTAGGGGGGAGAATACAGGTGAGTCTCAATCAATGTTTTTTTTTTCTTTTAATAAGGGAGATTTTATTATGAGAAAAATAAACATTTTATACGATTGATCATTTCATATTCTACAAAAAAAATAAAAAAAATTCCATGAATACTTGAATCCAGAGCAATCATTTCTGATGGATTCAGAACCAGTTCTACTGGTACCAGTTCAATATCGAAGCCAATCTGATCTCACAGATCAAACAAACACCGAATAAAGCCAGATTGGACTTTGATCTAACAATCTTTTATGATCTTTATATGACAGAAGCGGGTGAATAAAACAGAATGAGGCTTTATTGAAGGCTGTCAGAACTGACCCCAGTTTATCTGCTCAGTTTATGGTATGATAGAAAAATGTTTAGATCTGATCTCAGAGCAGGAAGAAGGAAAGAAGCAGATTAATTAGGACATGATTTTCCAACAACCTTTTTTTTGTTCATAAATAGGCTTTAAATTGGAAAGGTATTAGGGAGCCAAATGCAAACATTTTACATTTCTATGGAAGAAAAACTGCCTTTTTTTGTACACTGAATTTTAAAAACTTAGCTTTTATCATTTCAGCTGCAAAAAATTGATTGCAATGTGTTGACCTTTTGGTGAAATGAAGCCAAAGCAATCTACTCTTGCTGCAGTCGTACAGCTTCTAGCCAATGAAATGAGCCCATTTGGTCATAAAAAAAAAGTTTGCTGCCAGCCGCTTCTTCTGGATCAAACCAAAAGCCTTGGCAGGCAGGGGTGCCGCCCTAGCTGTGACTGGCTCTGTTATTTCACCCAGTCTGATTAGATGAAAAACTATTAGTACAGGGGCGGAGCTAGATGGGGGGCCAGGGGTGGCCATGGCCACCCCTACCATTATTTCCCTCTAATACAGATGGTGGCAGCAGTAATTCTCTCAAGTGAAATAATTAAATTTTTTTTTTTTTGTGGTTAATTATACACATCAATATACTAACATCAAAGATGATAAATACAGAATTAATGCTCTTTTCAGAGCTAGATTTTGTGATCTATGGGGTAAAGAGAAAAATACACTGCCTGGCCAAAAAAAAAAAGTCGCCGCCTGGATTCAACTAGCAAATAGGTACGAGCCTCCAACAAGTTATTTAACCCCAGCTGGTGCAGTGACTTGTTTCTCATTTCCTAAACAACCATGTCTAAAGACAGTCTGTTTGAGAAGGGTCAAATCATTGGCATGCATCAAGCAGAGAAAACATCCAAAGGGATGCAGAAACTAATAAAATTTGGTTAAGAACTGTCCAACGCATTATTAAAAACTGGAAGGATAGTGGGGACCCATCATCTTCAAGGAAGAAATGTGGCCGGAAAAAAGTCCTGAATGATTGTGTGGTGAGATCAAATGGAAGAAAAACAACAGTAGAACTCAGGGCTATGTTTAATACTGAAAGTAAGAGCATTTCCACACGCACAATGCGAAGGGAACTCAAGGGATTGGGACTGAACAGCTGTGTAGTCGTAAGAAAACCACTAATCAGTGAAAAAAAGGCTTCAGTTTGCACGGTGCATAAAGATTGGACTGTGGAGCAATGGAAGAAGGTCATGTGGTCTGATGAGTCCAGATTGACCCTGTTCCAGAGTGATGGGCCAATCAGGGTAAGAAGAGAGGCAGGTGAAGTGATGCACCCACCATGCCTAGTGCCTACTGTACGAGCCTGTGGGGGCGGGGTTATGATCTGGGGTTGCTGCAGTTGCTCAGGTCTAGGTTCAGCAACAGGATGAGCTCAAAGAATGAGGTCAACTGACTACCTGAATATACTGAATGACCAGGTTATTCCATCAATGGACTTTCCCTGATGGCACAGGCATATTCCAAGATGACAATGCCAGGATTCATCGGGCTCAAATTGTGAAAGACTGGTTCAGGGAGCATGACTCATCATTTTCACACATGGATTGGCCACCACAGAGTCCAGACCTCAACCCCATTGAGAATCTTTGGGATGTGTTAAAGAGGGCTTTGCTCAGCGGTCAGACTCTACCATCATCAATGCAAGATCTTGGTGAAAAATTAATGCAACACTGGATGGAAATAAATCTTTTGACATTGCAGAAGCTTATCGAAACAATGCCACAGCGAATGCGTGCCGTAATCAAAGCTAAAGGCGGTCCAACAAAGTATTAGAGTGAATTACCTTGATTTTTGGTGGCAACTTTTTTTTTGGCCAGGCAGTGTATGTGTTTGTGCAAGTCATCTAGCAGACTTCAGTGAAATCAAAGATAAATCGCAATTTAAATAAAAAAAATATGAAATAATCAATTTATGTAGATATTAGTGCTTGTAAATATCAATATCATTTTATGCAGAATGTTTATTGATACAAGTAGGTAAGTAATGACAATGATGATTGATTTACGCCCCAGAACTCAAAACTGACTTTTATCCACTATGCCTTTTATCTAGAAATGATGGATGTTAAATATACGCATCTAAGAAAGTAGAGTTTTTCTTTATTTCGAAAATATGGATGTTTTGCTCGTTAATTTTCCTGTTGGAACAGTGTAGATTGACCGTGAGGTTGTGGTGCCTTTTTGCTTTCAGCCCCCCCTCAGTGTACATTTCATTTTTCACATTTCTGTGTTACAGACTGACTGAAGATGAGTGGATGTGAAGGACGGGACAGAACCGAATCCTCAGCTTCCAGCTCTCTCTCTATGAAGAGTGACTGCTCCAGAAATTTTCCTCCATTCTTCGACGATGAACCTTCAGATAAGTAAGGAGCCATGCTTGATTCATCACCAGTTTATGAGCAGTTTGGGATGTTTTGATTCTAGCTGTGAGTCTGTATCCTTCCCCTCTAAGCAACAAGTTTCCTGCCGGTTCTGGAATATAGAGCTCCTGAATGTAAAATAGAAGAGACTGGACCTTCTGCTGATCGCTGCAGTTCTGATATCGTCTGGGCTTTGCTACCAATAGAGTCATTGTTCTTTGTGCTCAGGGGGAGAAGCAGCAGCCAGCTGTCTGAGGCAGATCAGATCTCCTGCTGTGGACGCTACATGGCCTTAGAACTGGACCAGCCTGCTTCAGGAAGCTCCTCTCGTTCCGAGTGTGTTGAGAGGTTCTGTCCCCTAACTGGACCACAGAGGACTGAAGATGATGGTAAGGCTGACCTCTTGGACTCTCCTAATGAACACAGCTGTCGCTTGCTGTGCTTTGGCTCTGGTGCCAAACCAATTACCTCATTCTCACAAGTCTGTTTTTTTGGTTCTGCTACTGGTTGTTGTTAAACCGAGATTAACTCAAGCTTAGCATGTCAGGTCCACAGAGTTTGATATACAGGAGACACCCAGAGACTTTTATTGTCAGCGTATAAAAAACTACATTTTGTTGTGTACAGCTTTCATGACATTTCCATTCCTTAAAGTGCAGCACTGATTAAATGTGAACAGTGTGACAAAAAAAAAAACAAGGTGCAAAATGCATTAATCTTGAATTTCAGAGCATTAATATTTATGGTGTAAATCTGCAGTATTGTTGGTTTGGTGTCATCAGTGTGATGCAGAGTCTGTGATTTAGAGTTTCAACAGTTCATCAGTGTGATGGCGGTGGGCTCTCCTCTCCCTTCTGGGCCCTTTGGACCAGTGAGGTGGTGTTTCCAGTCCAGGTGAGGGTGTCTGTGATGAATGACCACCTCTACAGCTGAGCTGTTGATGAGCAGTGGAGCATGGTTAGGCCGCTTCTTCCTGAAGTCCACCATGATCTCCTTGGTCTTCTCCACCTTCAGGATCAGGCTGTTATCTCTGCTCCACCAGCTGCTCCACCTCCTCTCTGTAGTCCAGGTCGTTGTCGTCTCTGATGAGGCCCACCACCGTGGTGTCATCTGCAAACTTCGCCATGTGATCGGTGGTGAACCTGGGGACGCAGTCGTGTGTCATCAGGGTGAACGGCAGGGGGCTCAGGACGCAGCCCTGAGGGGAGGGGCTTAGACTGATGACATCAGAGGTCCGACCCGGACTGACTGAGGTCTGTTGGTGAGGAAGTCTAGCAGCCAACAGCAGAGGAGTGTATTGAAGCCCAGCTGTTCCAGTTTGCCCAGTCCCTGATTAACATACCAAGAACTCAGAGAATAACTCGGCTTAACTGCTGATGGACAGATTTGTCCATCTGTCTCTTTTTGGTTTTCTGGTGGTCTTTTCTTCAGTCTTGTTTTTGTCTTCCAGTAGGTGGCGGTCTTCAGAAGGTCTTAGACCTCCATAAGATAAGCCTGAGGAGGAGATGTGCACACGTATCTGAGGGAACTGATGGATTAGGAGGCCAAACCCTGCTGACCAGCATCTACACTGAGCTTTACATCACAGAGGGGCAAGGAGGACATGTTGATACCCAACATGAGGTCAGGCAGCTGGAGACAGCTTCCATGGCTCTCAGTGACTCTCCAATCAGAGTCCAGGACATCTTCAAATCCTTGCCTAACCAACATGGAGCCATCAGAGTGGTTCTGACCAATGGCATCGCTGGTGTTGGAAAAACCTTCTCAGTGCAGAAGTTCACTCTGGACTGGGCAGACGACTTGGAGAACCACGATGTCAGTCTGGTGGTACTGCTTTCCTTCAGGGAGCTGAACCTGATCAGAGATCAGCAGCACAGTCTTCTCACGCTGCTCCATGTTTTCCATCCAACCCTCCAGAAGCTCCCAGCAGAGAAGCTGGCTGTCTGGAAACTTCTCTTCATCTTTGACGGTCTGGATGAAAGCAGACTTTCTCTGGACTTCAACAACAGTCTGCTTGTTTCTGACGTCACACAGAAAACATCAGTCAACGTTCTGCTGATGAACCTCATCAAGGGGAACCTGCTTCCCTCGGCTCTGGTCTGGATAACTTCCCGACCTGCAGCAGCCAATCAGATCCCTCCTTCCTGTGTTTCCAGGGTAACAGAAGTACGAGGCTTCACTGACGCCCAGAAGGAGGAGTACTTCAAGAAGAGGTTCAGTGATGAAGAGATGTCCAGCAGGATCATCTCCCACATCCAGACCTCCAGGAGCCTCTTCATCATGTGTGGGATCCCAGTGTTCTGCTGGATCACTGCTACGGTTCTGGAGAACCTGTTGACCACAGAGCAGAGAGGAGAGCTGCCTAAGACCATGACTGACATGTACTCACACTTCCTGCTGGTCCAGACCAGGAGGAAGAAGAACAAGTACGCTGAAAGAGATCAGGCAAGTCCACAGGAGCTGATGGAGGCTGACAAGGAAGTTCTCCTGAAGCTGGGGAGGCTGGCGTATGAAAACCTGGAGAACGGGAACATTGTGTTTTATCAGGAAGACCTGGAGCAATGTGGTCTGGATGTCACAGAGGCCTTAGTTTTCTCAGGAGTTTGTACAGAGATCTTTAAAAGAGAGAACGTGATCTTCCAGAAACCCATCTACTGCTTCGTCCATCTGAGTGTCCAGGAGTTCCTGGCTGCAGTCTACATGTTCCAATGTTTGACCAGCAGGAACACCGAGGTGGTGGAGAACTTCCTTGGTAGTTCACCTGATAGCCTTGTTAGGAAAGACGGCTCCTCAGCCATAGATGGCTTTCTGGAGAGAGTCCTGGTAAAGTCTCTCCAAAGTAAAACCGGCCATCTGGACCTGTTTGCCCGCTTCCTTCATGGTCTTTCTCTGGACTCAAATCAGAAGCTCTTGAGAGGCCTGGTTGGTGTAACAGGAACAGGTCCAGAAACCATCCAGCGAGTCATCAACAACCTGAAGCAGATGAATACCCACAAAATATCTCCAGACAGAAGCATCAACGTCTTCTACTGTCTGATGGAGATGAATGATCTCTCAATCCACCAGGACATCCAAGAGTTTCTGAGGTCGGAGAACCGATCAGAGAGGGAGCTCTCAGAGATCCACTGCTCTGCTCTGGCCTACATGCTACAGATGCTAGAGGAGGTTCCGGAGGAGTTGGACTTGGCTATGTTCAACACATCAACAGAGGGGAAGATGAGGCTGATCCCAGCAGTAAGGAACTGCAGAAAGGCTCGGTAAGTTCATCTGTAACATACTTTTTCATCAACTTTACTGCTTTTTTGTTTATTTACACATGTCCCGCCCCACAATGCAGTTCTCAGTCTGAAAAACAAGGAAAAGCAAAAGAGATTTACCTTTGAGAGTGGAACATTTTGGCTTTAATGCTCCACCAAATTACCCAGACTGCTCTGGTGTTAATTTGTTAAATTTTTTGGTGTGAATTTTTTTTTCTTGTGTGTGACTGTGTTTATGCAAAACATTTGTAGCAACAAGTTGCTAACAACAGTCCTGACTCCTTCCACTAGAGTATTAATATCTATGTTAGCATACACAACATTTTATGATCTAATTGAAATGTAAGCATAAAAAACTGCTGAGCCAGTCTAATGCAATCTACATGGAAATAGAGGTGAAGGAGAGAAAATTTATTCTGATTAGTTTATTTCATTGGGGGCCGCAGGTCATCTGACGGCACCTTGCAGGTAATTCCATCAAATCATCATGATTGGTTCAATGTTTTCTACGGAAACCCAGCTGGTTGCATCCAGAATGTGGAAACAGTAAAGTAGAAACATCCCTTTAAGAAAGGAAGGAAGGTGAGGTAGGACATTTGGAGGGAGAAATTAATAAAGGAGAGAATGAAGGATGGAGAGAATAAAGAAAAACAGCCTGGATTTTCATCTCTGCACCTGCAGAAAGTGAGAAATAAAAATAAAAACACAGAGACAAACAACAATAATGGTAGAAAACAGAGAAACATGCAATGAAATGTTCCATCAGTTCTCGCCTCATTTCCATCCTTCTGTCTATGACCTTAAAGGCTAGTCGGCTGCCGACTCTCAGAGACTCATTGTGAAGTCGTGGCCTCGGCTCTGATGGCCAGCTCCTCTCAGCTGATAGAACTGGACCTAACTGGAAATGTCCTGCCTGACCTGGGAGTGAAGCACCTGTGTGCCGGACTCGCCAGTCCACACTGTAAACTGGAGAAACTCAGGTTAGTCCCCAGAATAGTTTTATTTCCTTTCTTATCTAATTAGAGTTATTAGAGTTTTCTGATCTTTTTTGGACCAAAAGAGGTTTGATCTGCAGGCATGTTGGGATTTGAACCTGAAGTGAGCAACAGCTCTAGTAGATTTAGATCTTTTTTATGACACCCAGATTATTTGAACTTGTCAGTCATTGTGAGCAGCAGCTGCTGATGGATGCAGGAATCTGCCTGAAGATGGAAGGTTTCCCGGTTCCAACATCATCTCCAGCTTTCATAGTAGTAGTGCCTTTGGGCAAGGCACTTTGCCTACAGGGCCTTAAGGATCTAGAAATTAGAAAAAATTGTTACTTTAAATGTATTTATCCATAATTTGTGCAGGTAAATAAGATGATCTGCCAATGGAATGAGTATTTTTACGCTTAGAAATAAATAATTAGATAATATGCACTTTAAATAAAACAATCCAGTTGTTTTTGGGTTTTTTTTATGTAGATTGTCTTGTTCCATTTGAAAAATGGTGGTGGAAAGTAGCAGAGTACATTTATGTTATTACATAAGTACTTTTGTTGAGTATCTTTACTTGAGTCATTTGTTTTTGTTGTTGTTTTTTTGGGGATGGGGGGGCATTGGTATAACTTTCTACTCCATTTTCAGGAAGCTGTTAGTTCCTTGTTCCTTTTGGCTCAGCTTAACTTTATAAACCACTGTTGCTGTATTTTTTTCTTGAAATATCCATCCATCATGGAAGCCATTAGGACTGAAGCTGGATGCCACTGATTTAGACATTTAATGACGTTCCACATATGTGAGAAATTCAGAGCAGATATAATTTTATTAAGTTGCTGCCATGTGATTAAGTTGTTCCGTTGGATGAGTTTTATTGTGGTAATAGATTCAACCTTTAACCTCTATTCCATAGTGAAAGTCAGGAGAATCAAGACTTTCCTATTTTCTTTTTGGTTTGTTTTTAAATAAGTCAAGTCAAGTCAAGTCAGCTTTTATTGTCACTTTCTTCATATGTACAAGACATACAAGGGAAATGAAATTACGTTTGCTCTCTGCAATATACAAATATACAAGAAATATACAAGACTGACATTTAAAAACTGACATAAAGTGCGGGATATGACAGGTAAGAGTGGTAAGATAAATATAAATATGAAGTATAGACATTTACAATAAAAAGCAATAAAAACAGCAGCAATAGTTTGTACCAGGCTGAGGTAGTGCAGGTAAGGTGCAGTCTCTGGTACAGTGTGTGTGTGTGTGTGTGTGTGTGAGAGAGAGAGAGAGAGAGAGAGAGAGAGAGAGAGAGAGAAAGAGGGGCAGTCTTAGCTTCCTGTCTGCCTGGTGGGGAGGGGGTGGAGGGAGTTCAGCATTCTGATGGCCTGGTGGATGAAGGTGTTCGCCAGCCGGGTGGTTCTGGACCGTAGGCTCCTGTACCTCTTTCCGGAGGGCAGGAGACGGATCAGGTTGTGTGCTGGGTGGGTGTCATCCTTCAAAATTGTGAGGGCTTTGCGGGTGAGGCGGCTGGAGTAGATGTCTTGCAGGGAGGGGAGAGGTGCCTTGATGATCCTCCCAGCTGTGTTCACTATACGTTGCAGGGCTTTCCTGTTGTAGTCAGTGCAGCTCCCGCCCCATACAGTGATACAGCTGGTGATGATGCTTTCAATGGTTCCTCTGTAGAAGGAGGTCATGATGGCTGGTGGGGCACTGGCCTGATTCAGCTTCCGCAGGAAGTAGAGGCGTTGTTGGGCTTTCTTGACCAGTGATGCAGTGTTGGTGGTCCAGGAGAGGTCGTCGCTAATGTGCACTCCTAGGAATTTAGTGCTGCTCACCCTCTCCACAGCAGCGCCATCGATGGTCAGTGGCAGGAGTCGGCGGGGACCTTTCTGGAAGTTGACAACAATCTCCTTTGTCTTGCTGACATTCAGTAGGAGGTTGTTGTCACTGCACCACTTGGCTAGGTGGTCCACCTCTGTCCTGTAGTGTGTCTCGTCGCCGTTGGAGATGAGTCCTACCAGGGTTGTGTCGTCTGCAAACTTCACCAGGTGGTTAGTGCTGTGGGTTGTTTTGCAGTCGTGTGTGAGTAGGGTGAAGAGCAGAGGGCTTAGCATGCACCCTTGTGGAGCTCCTGTGCTCAGCGTGATAGTGTCCGAGGTGTTGTTACTGACGCGCACAACTTGCGGTCTCTGGCACAGGAAGTCCAGCAGCCAGTTACAGAGGGAGGTGCTGAGGCCCAGTTTGTCCAGTTTGCATATCAGCTGTTGGGGTATAATTGTATTGAATGCTGAGCTGAAGTCGATGAACAGCATTCTCACATAAGAGTCTTTTTTCTCCAGGTGAGTGATGGCTGGGTGCAGAGCTGAGTTGATGGCGTCCTCTGTGGAGCGCCGGGGTCTGTATGCGAATTGAAAGGGGTCCAGGGTGGGGGGGAGGATGGATTTGATATGTGTCATGACCAGCCGTTCGAAGCACTTCATGATGATGGTTGTCAGTGCTACGGGACGGTAATCGTTGAAGCAGGATGGAGATGACTTCTTTGGCACCGGTATAATGGTGGCGGCTTTGAAGCAGGAGGGGACGATGGCTTGTTGTAGTGAGGTGTTGAAGATGTCGGTGAAGACATGCTTTAATTCCTCGGCACAGTCCTTCAGCACCCGTCCAGGGATGTTGTCTGGGCCTGTTGCTTTGCGTGGGTTGATCCTGGTGAGAGCCCTCTTCACGCTATCGACAGAGTGCTAGGTCGTGTGGCGGGGGAGGTGTTTTCTGTGGGTGGGTCTTGTTGTTTTCCTCAAAGTGTGCAAAAAAGCTGTTGAGGTCATTCAACAGGGATGTGTTGTTGTTGCAGCTCCGAGGTGATAGTTTGTAGTCAGTGATAGCTTGGATGCCTTTCCACAAGCTCCGTGCATCTTTGCTATCACTGAAGTGGGAGGTTATTTCCTGTGTGTATTCCTTTTTCGCCTTTTTGATGCCACGTGACAGGTTGGCCCTTGCTGTTTTCAGGCTCGCTTCGTCCCCAGCTTTGAAGGCTTTGTCTCTAGCCCTCAGCAGCCTGTGGACATCCCCTGTCAACCATGGCTTCTGGTTAAGAAATAATAATCAAAATATCAGTCCTTCGATTTTGCGTGATTTTTATGCTGCAGTTCTTTCCAGGTGTAGAATCTATAGCAGGTGGTTCTACGCATCAAAACATCAGGTGGTTTCTGAAAGTTACAGGTTCTTTAAAATTACTCTAAAAATTAGAAATGTTCTGACGTTAGAAAATATATTTTAAGGACTTTTAAATGCATGTACTTTTGAACACTTAAGTATTTTCAATAGTGAGTACTTCAATACTTTAACTTGAGTAGATATTTGACTAACTTTTACTTCTAGTTGAGTAACATTTGACTAAGAGTATCGATATTTTCACTGAAGTACTACAGTTGATTACTTCATCCACCACTGCTTCCCTCCTCAATTCAAGAATGCACGTCTTTTAAGAACAAATCACTCATTTAGTGCAGTGTAAATTCCTTACTGACAGTGGTCAGAGGGCCCCGTGGCCCCTGGGAGCTGTAGCTACGGTGTAGCTTGCCACCATCATTTACCTTTTAATAATCTTTCATTACCTTGGTTTTTTTTTCCCATCCAGACTGAGAGGCTGCAGGCTGTCAGAGATCAGCTGTGATACTCTGGTTTCTGCTCTCTCATCAAACCCGTCTCATCTAAAACATCTGGACCTGGGCCTGAACAACAAACTGCAGGATTCAGGCATGAAGCTTCTCTGTGCTTTTCTAGAAGATTCCCAAAGTAAACTGAAGACCCTCAGGTAAGTTCTCAGCATGTTTCCTCCTCCATCCTCTGTCCACTGAAGGCTTCTCTCCTTTACCATTCAGATTGTTTGAATGCAGTCTATCTGGGATAAGCTGTGCTTATCTGGCCGTGGCTCTCAGATCCAACCCCTCCCATCTGAGACATCTGGACATGAGTGGAAACAACCTTCAGGATGAAGGAGTGAAGCAGCTGTGTGCTTTCATTGAGGATCCTCACAGTAGTCTGGAGAAACTAAGGTAGCTCCTCCTCCTGCTAGCCACCATGGTGATCACAGGGTGGAGAGAACTGATGTCTATTAAAATAGCTTATTCTACTTTAAAAGGACATTTCATTGAACCCTTACTGTTAAACTGAAAGAAGAAAGAAAGTTTGTGAGGAAAATTTAAAACAATCCACTGGACTTGGAAACCAAATCCAGTGGATTGTTTTTATTTTTTTGGAATGACTATGACCTGAATGACTGAGAACCTTCACCAGCATTTGTGATGATTTCTATTACTAGGAGCTCCAAAGCTCCATATCATGATAATACCACAGCCGTACTTGACAGTTATTAGTCCTCTGAGGTATGAAAACTTCTAGCCATGGTTCTAGTCAAACTCCAAGTCTTGTTTTCTAATCTCAAGCTCAATGATGTTACCCAAAGACATTTTACTTCCAAATGCAAGCAGCTGCAGATTTGGGCTTCAAGGTCTCCATCCTGGTCTGTTTCCATCTGCATCCTTCCAGTTCATTGGGACATAGAATTTGCTTTACTGGTGAAATTAAACTGGTATTTGTTTTTATTCAACCAGGAGAAATCAGGGCAAATAGGTTTTAAAAATGGATGAGTAAATCCAGCATAGACTGCTGACCTCAGCCCTGTTTAAATGACACAGACTGCTAAAAACCATGAGAGCCAGAGCTGCTAGATCAGAATCAACCTGTGTTTCTCTCTTGTAATGACATCTGTTAGCCGGAAGACTGTCCAGAGTCTGCGCAGCTGTCCAGAGTCCCTTTCCTACCCTGGAAATGGATTACTTTTGACTCAATGAAAACGAATGGATGGGGGATAGCATCAGGAGCTAAGAGCTACAATTTGCCCGGTTCAGATTCAGCTCGAGAAGAGACAGGATCTGTGACCTCAGTGAGGAGGTGTGCTTGACCCCGTCGCAAGGGGCCATGCTGTCCTTTAAAGGCTGTTTGTGGTTGATACAGGAAACATTGAAGAAAAAAAAAGTATAAAAAAATTTTAATCCTTTTATTGTCACACAATAAGGAAATTCACTATATATATATAAAGCATTTTAAAGGCAACAATAATCACGTTTAATAATTTTTAATGCCAATTAAGGCCTTAATTTAATAAATAATCATTTAATGACTTTTAATGATTTTCAATCACCTGCAGAAACCCTGATAAACCTCAGATAAAGCTAACGGGAAGGTTTAGGCGTAGTGAAGATAGACTCTTCTCTACAAGCTGTACCAGGAAGTGTGGTCAAACATTCAGCGGGAATGATGGCAGAAATTTAGTGAAGAGTGATGGAGGCGTAACCTGCTGAGGGACATTTATCCAGGAAATAACATTTAATCTGAATGTTTGAATCTGATGATGGATTCAGATAAACCCGAAACACTACAGTTGATTCATTACTTATGCTGTAAAAATGAAATATAAAATGTCTGGTCCTCTGGGCGCCGGGTCCTCTGGTGTCTGAGGAGCTGAACCTTTGTTGTTCATCAGGTTGTGGGGCTGCAGGCTGTCCTGGATCAGCTGCTCCTGTCTGGCCTCAGCCCTGAAGACCAACCCGTCTCTGAAACATCTGGACCTGAGAGACAACAACCTGCAGCAGTCAGACGTGCTGGAACTGCTGAGTCCAACCTCTGGCCTGCAGAAGCTGCGGTGAGGAAGGGAGGGAGGGGCTTCATTTCCTGTTTTCAACTAATCAATCTGCTTTCTAAATTTTTGATCTTTGATTCTTTGTTGTCTTGAAAACAAACCGATGCCAGAACCTCCTGCAGGTATTTCTGTGGTCTGTGTTTCATTTTAAACCGTTTTTGTTCCACATCAGCTTCCCTGGGAGCAGGACAGAGATCTTAATGATCTGCATCCATGAAGAAGAGGTCTGGGTACCGTCTCTGACCTTCGCTGTTGTTTCTCTTCTCTCTGCAGATGGAAGTGACCTGCTGACCTGCTCCATAACAGTTCTGGGTCTATTCTGGGTCTCTGGTTCAGGTTCTTTCCAAACTGAAGCTAATAGACTGATTTTCAGGCCATTGAATTGATCTCCAAGTGTCTCTGAAGTGTTTCTGGAGTCGGAGCCGTTAAAGTTGAAGGTTGTTCTGTGAGGAAACCTTCTAAACTGCAGCACAAAAACGGAACAGAATACTTGAAGGCTTGAGTCCAAAAACATCAGAACCGGGTCCTCTAAGCTCTGTTTTATAATCTTCTAAGGAAACATCATTTACAGTAATCTTTATTTAAATCCAGACGTGACCAAAGGAAGGACCTTACTTTAATAGGATTACTTTAATAGTGAATAAAAATAAATTAGAAGAGAACCAATGATTGTACTTTCTCCCACATTGGCCTTAAAGAGGTCACAACCTTTTATTTTAAATTTAATTTTAAGTTTAGGCAGCAGCGCTTAGTAGGGCTAATGGCTAATGTTAGCATGATAGCAAAGCATGCTATTGTTAGCATGATGATAGCAAGGCAGGCTAATGTCAGCATGGTGATAGCAAGGCAGGCTAATATTAGCATGGTGATAGCAAAGCAAGCTAATATCACCATGGTGATAGCAAGGCAGGCTAATGTTAGCATGGTGATAGCAAAGCAGGCTAATATCAGCATGGTGATAGCAAGGCAGGCTAATGTTAGCATGGTGATAGCAAGGCAGGCTAATGTTAGCATGGTGATAGCAAAGCAGGCTAATATCAGCATGGTGATAGCAAGGCAGGCTAATGTCAGCATGGTGATAGCAAAGCAGGCTAATATCAGCATGGTGATGGCAAAGCAGGCTAATGTTAGCATGGTGATAGCAAGGCAGGCTAATATCACCATGGTGATAGCAAAGCAGGCTAATATCAGCATGGTGATAGCAAAGCAGTTTAATATCAGCATGGTGATGGCAAAGCAGGCTAATGTTAGCATGGTGATGGCAAAGCAGGCTAATGTTAGTATGGTGATAGCAAGGCAGGCTAATGTTAGCATGGTGATAGCAAGGCAGGCTAAGGTTAGTATGGTGATGGCAAAGCAGGCTAATGTTAGCATGGTGATAGCAAGGCAGGCTAATGTTAGCATGGTGATGGCAAAGCAGGCTAATGTTAGTATGGTGATAGCAAGGCAGGCTAATGTTAGCATGGTGATAGCAAAGCAGGCTAATGTTAGCATGGTGATGGCAAAGCAGGCTAATATCAGCATGGTGATAGCAAGGCAGGCTAATGTCAGCATGGTGATAGCAAAGCAGGCTAATATCAGCATGGTGATGGCAAAGCAGGCTAATGTTAGTATGGTGATAGCAAGGCAGGCTAATGTTAGCATGGTGATAGTAAGGCAGGCTAATGTTAGCACGGTGATAGCAAGGCAGGCTAATGTTAGCACGGTGATAGCAAGGCAATGTTAGCAACAAAAAGGCCCCTGAGCCACAGCGCTCTTTGTGATTGTTCCGTTTTTGTGCAAATTTCTCCTAGTTTCTATATCCTCACGTTTATCTGTAGATCTGAACTCAATATTAAAAATGTTATTTTGTTTCTAATTTGAGCTTAATGTCACACTGTAACCTTTGACCCCGGTATCGGTTTAAGCTGAGATCCTCCAATGATGCTTCAGCTCCTGCTGTGCATCGATGCTCCTCTGCGACCTCACAGGGTCGGATGTTTTCTGGTCTGATTTCTTCCAGAAGGTGAACGTTTCCTCGTCTTTACGGGGAACTCCAGGAGTTCTAGACCTGCTGGTCCAAACTGGTCTGATACCAGAACCAGAAAACAGAGGAGACTGGTTTGTTTAGAGACAGAGTGCTCCCAGTGGCCTTTAGGGGGCGCTAATCCTGGAGGCATCTAGCATCCCTATTGGTTAAATGTTACAGTGCTGCAGTAAAGCTGAAGTTATTTTCTATTCTAATTTTAACAGAATCGTTTAGGTTAAAGTGTCATAAACAGTCATATTTGATTTCCTCAAATCTGTTGATTAGTGTGAAATAAAATGCTGGATTTTGAAGCAGCTCCCGGTCGCCTCTAGAACCAGGTTCACCTACAGAGAACCGTGGCTTGGATCCAGGATCTGGTTCTTCCAAACAGGATCCAGATGTTAGAACCAAAGGGAAGGTCTGATGGAACTTCATCATCCCAGAATGAACATCTTCATCACTGCGGACCAAGCTCAGGTCCATCTCCTGCTGCATGGAGACCAGACCAACCCAATTAAGGGAGAGACTGACCTCTGACCTGCAGGATTTGAAATCTGAAATCATTGGCTTCGTTCAAATTCCTGGGCTGCGTCCTCTGAAGGCCAGATTCAAAGGCAGATGATGTCATAGCGGCGCCAAGGTCTTTCAGACACCAAGACTTGTTATGCGGCCGACAAATGCAGTTTGGAAAAGTTGGTATTGATTCTTTTTCTGCTTTGTGTGTCAACTGACACGGTTGCTAGGCGACAGAGCATATGGCGGTAAAAGCTGCAGAAGGATAGAGCTGTTTGAATTCACAGCCAAAACTCTTCTGGTCTCCTTATTTTCACGAACTTCCAAGGATCCAGTCCAGGAAGAGCGCGTCTTTGGAGGATGCAGCCCAGGAATTCAAACTCAGCCATTGTTTGTCTGCATTGATGCTAGAAGTTAAACTGGATTAAATATTAGAAACCAAATGAAATCAAATTAATTAGGAAAAACTTTGGTCTCTTTTAAATTTGTTTTATGGCTCCTAGAAATAAAAACTTTTCTGATGCTCAGACTTGAGTTCCACCATGTTTTATTAACAGGTGATTTCACAACGACACGTTACTGCTCCCCCACTCCCACAGCAGCTCCCCCACAGTCCACATTTACAGCCTCTGACATCATGGAAGCATCCAGCCTCCAGTTCCCCCAGAGTTCGCAGTGTCTGAGTCGGGCTCATTCCAGTGAAACATAAGGATGGCGACATGGTTCTAGCCCAGTAGTCGTCATGGTAACCCTGCTCTAAGGTTTTTGGTAATGTTGCCATGGTGGCGCAGAGGTCACCTCCAGGACCCGGAGCAGAAATGTTCTGGAGAGCAGGACATCGTTCTTCCGGGTCATTTGGCGAAACTTTGCTTCCAGGCTCCACTGGTCCAACGTTCCCTCAGAACTCTGTCTAGAACAGAAGAACCGATCCACCATGGAACCGGGTCCAAACCCGAAGCTGGCGACCAGAGCAGCGGGAAACAAATTCAATCTAAAACTGGGAAAACTTCCTGCCAGAACCAGTTTCCTTTTATCAGTAAAATTCAAATCAAAACGTGAAACTTAAACGTTTTCAAATGTGCCGTCAGAATCAGTGCTGAACAGAAAGCAGCTAAAGTGCTGAAAAATGCATCCGATCCGTTTGGAGAGAATGAGCAGAAACTGCCGAAAAAAAAGCAAGGCTGGAGGTTCTGATCCCCAGTGCCCATTCACCCCGCCCACACAGAGGCTCCGCCTCCTTCGCAGTCGTACCTGAACAGATGAGGGATCAGCACCGAGGCGGTCCGTTCCAGCCTTTCACCCAAACGTTTAGGAGCATCAACAAGAATCCAGTGTGAAGACGAACAGCAGGACCGGCCGACGCCATCAGAACCTCTTCAAACCCAGACTCCTCATCACCTCAGGTTCTGGTTCATCAGGGAGACCCGAGGAGATTTTGCTAAATGGATCTGTTTCTTCTTCTGAGGTTTCTGGTTCTGTTGGTGTTCTGCCACCAGATCCAGACTGAACTATTTCATCAGGTCTGAATGAATCTGAGCGTAGAACCGGTTCTCCGGTTCTCTTTGCAGGCTGGTTCTGAACAACAACCAGCCCTTTGCTGCAGGCTCAGCTTCAGATGGACCGGGTCAGTCAGGAACGGTGAGCAGAACACCAGAGAAGGTCCAGAGATGGTTCTGGCCTGACCCAATCAGCTTCCGGAGTGGATGGTTGCCATGGCGACCTGAGGGTGTGTGTGTGAATCATTATGACCGGTTGGAGACCGACCAGAGTGAGGAGGAGACGTCGTGTCAGAACCGTTTACAGGCAGAACTCCACATGTGATCAAACGCCAGCGGTTCTGGACATTTTAAAGCCCACAAATTCAGAACCAGCAACTTTATGTCATAAAAGTCAGAGCGACGGTTCTGAAGACAAGCGACCCGTTCTGGCAGGGATTCGGACTAAATGGACCCGATCCAGAACCCTTTCGGATCTGGATCCATCAGAACCAAAGAAATAAAACATTCTGAACATCGTTCTGATTATCAGAGCTTCATCCATCCACCACGCTCTTCATCAGTAGCATGAACACGTACCGCCAAACGGCGCCCCCTGCTGATGCTCAGCAGAGGCTCCAGCAGAAAGGAAAAGTAAACATGATGGGAAACTCCGAGGTTCCCGTAGGAACGCCAGATTCCGCAGCAATCTTCCGTCTCTGGGTTTTTGGAAGTTTAAGGATCCTGGAGGCGACCGATGCGTTCTTCCTCGCCGAGCTCCCAGGAACGTCCCGACGGCGACGTACCGCCCGCTCCAGTCCGGCTGATCGGTGATGACATCAAAAAGGAGGCGGAGTCTCCTCATCCCCTGTCCCTCCGCCGTCGACTCCACATGAGCCAATCAGAAGAGGGAGGATCATCTGAAACTCGCCTGGATAGACTGAGCAGAGGGAGCCCATTGGCTGCAGTCTGAGTCCGGTTTGAATCTTTGAACGTCCTTCAGTGATCGAGTCCAGAAAACAGAGAAAGAAAAGATCTGCAGGAGGAAACCACAAAAAACCGTTAAAGGCAACGACTCAGTTCTGATACATTAAATACAATCAATTCATTTCCTTTTTCATTAAATAAGGCATAAATTTATTGATCATTGTGAGATTTAAAGCTGAAGATTCAGGTTTTATACTGTGAATCGAATATATCTGTTATATATCTGCTCCGGCTGTGATGTCACAGAGGGAGAGCTGATGTGATTGGCTGCTTTTATACTCTGTATTTTGCTGGTGAAGATCCTCAGTCAATCAGGTCAGAGTAATTCCAAAAAAGTTACAATCAATCCTCTGGACTTTGTTTCCAAGTCTGAAGACGTTTCTCTTCCATCCAGGAAGACTTTTAAATTCAAAATAGCAGAAATAGCGTTTAGTTCCAGGTTTTATCCAGCAGCCCAACAAAGCCTGGTTTAGGATTAGAAATCAAACTAAATGATTGAGTTGATCCTTTCCTGCTATCATTGCAACAGAGCACCTCCCCTATTCAGCCAGGCCAACAATTCCCTCTAACGACCCCCCTTTCAGAGACATAGACAGGTATGGGGCATTGCAGGCTAACAAAGAAGCTGAACGACCCCCATTCCAAACGGGGGGACCCGTTCATCCGTTTCTATTTGCATGTTTTCTAAACTAAAACCAGGCTTTGTTGGGCTGCTGGATAAAACCTGGAACTAAACGCTATTTCTGACATTTTGAATTGAAAAAACTTCCTGGATGGAAGAGAAACGTCTTCAAACTTGGAAACAAAGTCCAGAGGATTGATTTTAACTCTGTATTTTCCCACCGAACACGGACGTTTACCACAAAGTTTACCTGCCTTTGATCACTTGACCATTAGGTCCCTGCTGCAAACCGTCTGTGGATATGGCAAGCACTTTAACATTTAATCAGGAAATGTAACTTTTTGGAATCCAGAAGGACAAAACTACAGTTAAAGATATTAGTTCAGATCTGACTGGGGAAAGTTATGCTGCAGATATCTATAATGAATATCTGGTTTAGAGATTTTATATTTACATGGCTTGCAGTACTAATCTAGACAATCAAGTAGAGGCTAAATAGAATGTTCTAGAACTGACAGAGACTCCTGGACAGAACAGCCCAGAACTTATGGAGCAGATTTGGCCCCAAACATTGAAACCATTAAAACCATAATCGGCTACATTCAACTGGAACAAGGACAGAAGATTAGAGCTCAGCGTTCTCCTGATCTCCACCGCCAAAAAACATCGACATCAGCTGGTTCCTGGCTGGACTGATGATCCATGCTGAGAAAAACATTTTGTGTTTTTTGCCAAACTAAGATTTTCTTTGACTATTGAAAAATAATAAATAGAAATGAAGGTTTGCTGATAACAGACTGCCAGGGACCAGTGCTTGCCAAATGTTCCCAGGTCTCCCCTGGATGTTTTATAACCGTCACGGTGGGAATACAGACGCCATCTTGGCTGGTTGGATGTATATTTTAAACAATTGACATGGAAGTCGATGTCCATCATGTTGTGGGGTCGTGCAGCTGGGTCCTACCCGCGAATGGACTCCTGCGCGGGCCAGCTCCAGTGCTACGTTTGGGACTCGACTCCCGGCTGGCTGCTGGGCTCCTTGGCCTCCTTCCCGTCCCGCAGCGGGGGGCTGATCTCCTCCTCAGGGTCGTAGTAATAAAACTTCCTCAGGTAGGCGATCAGAGGCCTGCAAGACAGAGCAGGAAGCAGAGGTTAATTCGCAGCCCAGATGGTGCTGGGAGTCAGACAGCAGAAACTGAAGCTGCCTCGGCCACCGCAGCAACCTAAACGCTAAAGCTAACTATAACAGCTCAGGTTTGGATCATTTCACTTCTGTCTCTGCTCTAATTCACTTCTCCCTGGAGTCCTTCAGCAGAATGGAGGTGCCAGGGGGCGGGGCTTGCAGCGGGTACGTACGTGGGCAGCGGCAGCTCCTGGATATGGTCGATCCGGACCAGCTGTCTGATGCAGAAGCGACACAGATGCTGCAGAGACTTGACGCTGCTGAACCTGGAGACCGGGTACAGGAGCTGGACTGGAGTCGGAGGCAGACCTGAAACACAGACGCACAGTGATGGACCAGAACCTGGCAGGAAGCGGGAAGACGTGTCCTATGCTACCAGTCATCTCAATAACGTTTCTATGGTAACCGGGGTCCAAAACATGCAGTTCAGGACAGATCTTCTCTGTCCGCTCGGTGCTGACACCCCGGCTCACCCCTCATTCAGCCACAGGTTGGAAATATCTGAGAAAAAAAGCTCTGATTCTAGAGAAGCGTTAATCCAACCCTTTTATGAACATCTCAGTCATCTGGATCCAAGAGAGAGAGAAACAGATCTCAAGGTTTTAAACAGGGATAAAAATTAGAAGTTCATGATCATCAGATAGCATTCAGCCACCAGATGGCGCCATGCGCCACCTTCCATGGAAAGGCTGTCATCTAAAAACAAAGTTGCCAATGAAACATGCGGCCCCTCATCAAACCTTGACCCATCTGGAATGCCAATCTGAAATGCCTCACTAGATGCTTCATGAAAAAAACCTCACTAAAGGCCTTGTGAAATGCCTCATGAAATGCCTCACTAAAGGCCTCATGAAATGCCTCATGAAATGCCTCACTAAAGGCCTCACTAAAGGCCTCATGAAATGCCTCATGAAATGCCTCACTAAAGGCCTCACTAAAGGCCCCATGAAATGCCTCATGAAATGCCTCACTAAAGGCCTCACTAAAGGCCCCATGAAATGCCTCATGAAATGCCTCATGAAATGCCTCACTAAAGGCCTCACTAAAGGCCTCACTAAAGGCCTCTGAAATGCCTCAATAAAGGCCCATAAAATGCCTCAATAACGGCCTCAAGAAAGATCTCACTAAATGCCTCGTGAAATGCATCATGAAATGCCTCATGAAATGCCTCACTAAAGGCCTCATGAAATGCCTCATGAAATGCCTCACTAAAGGCCCCATGAAATGCCTCATGAAATGCCTCATGAAATGCCTCACTAAATGCCTCACTAAAAGCCTCACTAAAGGCCTCACTAAAGGCCTCATGAAATGCCTCATGAAATGCCTCACTAATGGCCTCATTAAAGGCCCCATGAAATGCCTCATGAAATGCCTCACTAAATGCCTCACTAAAGGCCTCACTAAAGGCCTCACTAAAGGCCTCATGAAATGCCACACTAAAGGCCTCACTAAAGGCCTCATGAAATGCCTCACTAAAGGCCTCATGAAATGCCACACTAAAGGCCTCACTAAAGGCCTCATGAAATGCCTCATGAAATGCCTCACTAAAGGCCTCATGAAATGCCTCATGAAATGCCTCACTAAAGGCCTCATGAAATGCCTCACTAAAGGCCTCATGAAATGCCTCATGAAATGCCTCATGAAATGCCTCACTAAAGGCCTCACTAAAGGCCTCTGAAATGCCTCAATAAAGGCCCATAAAATGCCTCAATAACGGCTACAAGAAATATCTCACTAAATGCCTCGTGAAATGCATCATGAAATGCCTCAGTAAGGGCCTCGTGAAATGCCTCACTAAAGGCCTCATGAAATGCCTCATGAAATGCCTCACTAAAGGCCTCACTAAAGGCCTCTGAAATGCCTCAATAAAGGCCCATAAAATGCCTCAATAACGGCCTCAAGAAATATCTCACTAAATGCCTCGTGAAATGCACCATGAAATGCCTCAGTAAGGGCCTCTGAAATGCCTCACTAAATGCCTCATTAAAATGCCTCAATAACGGCCTCAAGAAATATCTCACTAAACGCCTCAGTAAGGCCTGATGAAATGCCTCACTAAAGGCGTCGTGAAATGCCTCACTAAAGGCCTTGTGAAATATCTCGCTACATGGCTTCTGAAACGCTGCACTAAATGCCGAAGGAAATGCCTCATTAAATGCCTCTGGTAATGCTGCGCTGTGTTGCTGTTCAAACTATCCTAGATTTGTCACAGCTGTGTTTGCTGAAATGCACTGGCTTGAATTTCAAGCTCAGCTAAGATTAAAAACAAGTAAGCTTTACAAAACTTAAGATTGTTACACAAATAAAAATGACATCTGGAGATGTTCTGTAAGATGAGAGCCAATCTGACTTCCTACATTTAGACACATTCAGCAAAGCAGATTTCCAGATGTTCTGCAGCTGCGGTTCTACTGATAGAAAGGGGGCGGTTCAATTCTATTTAGTTTATTTCTATAGCTCCGATTCACATCATGTCATGTCAGGTCACTTTCCAGTTGACCAGATCATCCAGTCAGATTGATTCAAAGTTTTCTATCTAAGGAAAACCAGCTGATTGCATCGACTCATTGACTCTTCAGCAATCCCTCACACTAAGCATGCTTGTAGCGACAGTGGAGAGAAAAAACTCCCTTTGACCAGGAAGAAACCTCCAGCAGAACCAGGCTCAGTGTGAGCGGCCATCTGCCGGCTGGGCCGATCGGTGGGTTCCTACCTGGGACTCTGGAGCGAAGGAAGTAGAGGAACTTTCCATTCTTGGAGTGCATGATAGCTCTTTCGATGAACTCCACCACAGAGTGGCAGCGGTCCTCGAACTTTGGGTGGCACCACAGACTGAAGGTCCCTGCAGGACGGAACAGGACAGAGAGGTCAGGGCTGCAGTGGGCCGGCCTGGACAGCCCGGTTCTGCTGGTGTGTGACTTACCTCTGTAGTGCTCCATGCGTGTGTGGTGCGTCACCCCCTGCGACCGGAAGCTCAGGCTCAGGATGTACCGAGGGTCTGAACTGTCCCGGACCAAAAACGATCCGTCCGGCTTCCCTTTCAACTTCATCTCAGCGTCTTCCCAGTTCATGGGGCCCCAGTACCAGCCGCACTGGGAACACACACACACACCCCAATGTTAGGCCCCGCCCCTTCCCTCACTGCTCACATCTAATCAGACATACCCACCTTCTCCAGCTCTCTGAGGCTGGTGGCGAAGCTGCCAGCGTCGGGTCGACTCAGGGGGCAGCGGGGGGCAAGCCGTGGGGGTGGGTTCTGGCCGTCGGGCCGCAGCGGTACCGGGCGGGGTAAACCTCGCAGGAAGGTGTCTGGGCAGAAGAATCATAGTCAGAACTCGGTTTTGGCCAATAATCGAGTTTCCCTGATATTTTTTAAATGACCTCCAGCCCTGAGATCACTTCTCTGCTTCAGTTAAACACCCACAATCCTTTGCTGCAGCATTATCACTGTCACATGACCAACCAACCCCCCCCACCCCCCTCCCAGAACTAAACAGCAACAACCATGGGCTAGTCATAGCAGCTGTTCTGGTGTCCCTGCTCGCCCGGCCTCTGGAACCGGGACCGCTTACCGTTGAGGCTCAGGCTGTGCTGGATGGTGCTCAGGGTGGGGGGCAGGGCCATGGTTCGGGGGGGCAGAGACTGCATTGATGCTCCGGTGCTGTGCTCCATGAAGGGCCCCTGATGCTGAGGAGGGCCCCCAAAATCATCTGCAAAGCATCACAGACACAAACACAGCTGAGAGGAGGTCCAGGACCACATCTCTACATCCTGTAGCTTCATCATAGAAGCATAAAGGAAGAACTTCTCCACTTTCATCTTGATTAAGATTCAAGAACTCCTACGCTTCAGGTTGAAACCATCAGAAACGCGTTTTGAACAAACAAAAAAGACAAAACGAAACAAAAAAGAAGAAAAAAACGACTGTAAAATATTTCTTCCTCCATCAGAGCAAAGCTTCGTCTCAGAGGAACTGGGAGGATCCATCCAAGAAACAAACCATCAAGGAACCTGGAGGAACATCGGGGCGCAGCTTCAGCAATAGCCTCTGATCCATCACAGGGTTCTCTATCCAGAACCATTATCCATCACCACCAGATAGAACCTCTGGATAACCTTCATCCAGCTCTACATCCAGAGGGATAAAGGCTGATGTTCTCCTCAGAGTCAGCTTATCTGGGCTCAGAGGCTTCTATGGTGGTAGAAGGCTGCACCATGGTCTGGGTTTGGATCGTCTCCTCTGGGATGGTAGGAGGTGGTACCATGGTCTGGGTTTGGATCGTCTCCTCTGGGATGGTAGGAGGTGGTACCATGGTCTGGGTTTGGATCGTCTCCTCTGGGACTGTAGGAGGTGGTACAATGGTCTGGGTTTGGATCGTCTCCTCTGGGACGGTAGGAGGTGGCACAATGGTCTGGGTTTGGATCGTCTCCTCTGGACGGTAGGAGGTGGTACCATGGTCTGGGTTTGGATCGTCTCCTCTGGACGGTAGGAGGTGGTACTATGGTCTGGGTTTGGATCGTCTCCTCTGGGACGGTAGGAGGTGGTACCATGGTCTGGGTTTGGATCGTCTCCTCTGGGACGGTAGGAGGTGGTACCATGGTCTGGGTTTGGATCGTCTCCTCCAAGATGGTAGGAGGTGGTACCATGGTCTGGGTTTGGATCGTCTCCTGTGGGACGGTAGAAGGCGGTACCATGGTCTGGGTTTGGATCGTCTCCTCTGGGATGGTAGGAGGTGGTACCATGGTCTGGGTTTGGATCGTCTCCTCTGAGACGGTAGGAGGCGGCACCATTGGAGAGACGTTTGGAGGAGAAATGGGACAGAAGAACATCTGGAAGCCTGTGAGCCTCCAGTTCCTGAACAACAGGGACTCTAAGGGTCGGTAGAAGGAACCGGACCGTCACAGAGCTGCAGAACCTTGTCCAGAACATCAGGTACAGTAATGAGTCCATGTTCTTATAAATGGGGGAAAACTGACCGAGTTTAAAACTGAAAGAAGCAAAGAACATAAACTTCCAGATAAAACTTTCGGTTCTTCAGCTACTGTCCGAGTCTGCTGGTTGGGTTCTTCTTTAACCTAGAGAACAGGAAGCAGATCCTTACGAATGTGACTCGGTTCCATAGCGACTAAACCCAAAATATCACATCTGAACCAAACCAGATCAGTAATCAGAACCGGACCGGGACGGAAAAGAACCAAGTTACAAAGGAATCCTACCTGAGAGCGAAGATCCCACAACACAAACACAAAGAGCAGAGGACAAAACAGGAAGTGAGAGAAAAAGAGGAAGAAGAGGAAGTACCGAGCAGGCTGAGGCTCCGTCTGGGAGGGGGGGGAGGGGTAGGGGGGTGCTGAGAGGCCCCCCCCCTGCGAGAAATGTCCACATCGACCAGAGAGACCGTCTCACCTGGACAGAGCAGAGGAGGGGTTAGAGGAGGGAGGGGTTAGTGAGCAGAGGGAGGAGCTTGAGGATGAAGATGGGGATGAGGAGGCACATCTTCATCAGCTGCTGTTGGTCCTTAACAACTAAACCTCCTAACCTGAACCTCTGAACCCAAAAAAACCTGCTAGGTAACGGATCCATAACCGACCCGCTCAATTAACCGACCCGTTCAATTACAGAACCGTTCAATTATTGGACAAGTTTAATTAATGGACCCGTTCAATTAACGGACCCGTTCAATTAATGGACAAGTTTAATTAATGTACGCGTTCAATTATTGGACCCGTTTAATTAACGGACCCGTTCAATTAACGGACCCGTTCAATTAACGTACCCGTTCAATTAATGGACCCGTTCAATTATTGGACCCCTTTAATTAACGGACCCGTTCAATTAACGGACCCGTTCAATTAATGGACCCGTTCAATTACAGAACCATTCAATTATTGGACAAGTTTAATTAATGGACCTGTTCAATTAACGGACGAGTTTAATTAATGGACCCGTTCAATTAACGGACCCGTTCAATTAACGGACCCGTTCAATTAATGGACCTGTTTAATTAACGGACGAGTTTAATTAATGGGCCCGTTCAATTAACGGACCCGTTCAATTAACGGACGAGTTTAATTAATGGACCCGTTAATTAACGGACCCGTTCAATTAATGGACGAGTTTAATCAATGGACCCGTTCAATTAATGGACCCGTTCAATTATTGGACCCGTTCAATTATTGGACCCGTTCAATTAATGGACCCGTTCAATTATTGGACCAGTTCAATTAACGGACCCGTTCAATTAACGGACCCGTTCAATTATTGGACCCGTTCAATTAACGGACCCGTTCAATTAACGGACCCGTTCAATTATTGGACCCGTTCAATTAACGGACCCGTTCAATTATTGGACCCGTTCAATTAATGGACCCGTTCAATTATTGGAGCCGTTCAATTAACGGACCCGTTCAATTAACGGAGCCGTTCAATTAACGGACAAGTTCAATTAACGGACCCGTTCAATTATTGGACCCGTTCAATTATCTGATCTGCTCAATAAATGGACCCGTTCAATAACAGAACCGTTCAATTAACAGACCCGTTCAATTAACAGACCCGTTCAATTAATGGACCAGTTCAATTAATGGACCTGTTCAATTATTGGAGCCGTTCAATTAACGGACCCGTTCAATTATTGGACCCGTTCAATTAATGCACCCGTTCAATTAACGGACCCGTTCAATTATTGGACCCGTTCAATTAACGGACCCGTTCAATTATCTGATCTGCTCAATAAATGGACCCGTTCAATAACAGAACCGTTCAATTAACGGACCCGTTCAATTAATGGACCCGTTCAATTAACGGACCCGTTCAATTATTGGACCCGTTTAATTAATGGACCCGTTCCATTAACGGACCCGTTCAATTATTGGACCCGTTCAATTAACGGACCCGTTCAATTATTGGACCCGTTCAATTAATGGACCCCTTCAATTAATGGACCCGTTCAATTATTGGACCTGTTCAATTAATGGACCCGTTCAATTAACGGACCCGTTCAATTATTGGACCCGTTCAATTAACGGACCCGTTCAATTATTGGACCCGTTCAATTAACGGACCCGTTCAATTATCTGATCCGCTCAATAAATGGACCCGTTCAATAACAGAACCGTTCAATTAACAGACCCGTTCAATTAATGGACCCGTTCAATTATTGGACCCGTTTAATTAACGGACCCGTTCAATTATTGGACCCGTTCAATTAATGGACCCGTTCAATTAATGGACCCGTTCAATTATCTGATCCGCTCAATAAATGGACCCGTTTAATTAACGGACCCCTTCAATTATTGGACCCGTTTAATTAATGGACCCGTTCAATTAATGGACCCGTTCAATTATCTGATCCGCTCAATAAATGGACACGTTCAATTAACGGACCCGTTCAATTATTGGACCCGTTTAATTAATGGACCCGTTCAATTATCTGATCCGCTCAATTAACGGCCCCGTTCAATTAATGGACCCGTTCAATTAACGGACCCGTTCAATTACTGGACCCGTTCAATTAATGGACCCGTTCAATTATTGGACCCGTTCAATTAACGAAATTAAAGGACCCTTTTAATGAACAAATAAATGATGGATTTACTTTAATGGATCCATAGTTCTAATGGGTCCATTTTTCTACTTCAATGTTCTGAGGGACTGAGAATGACCAGAACTGGAACCAAACTGATAGTGATGTCATCTATGGATGGGGCCACGCCCACCGACCCAGGCCGTATGATGTCATTGGTCCCAGAGGCCATTTTCTAACAGATTCTACTGCGAGTTAAAAAGTTCTGGTTCTGTCCTGACAACATGGAGGGCGCTGAGCTCAGATGACTTATCTCAGCTAGTCCAAGGGGGGTCCGGTTCTTCTGCTGGGTTCCAGGATCCGATTCTTTTGGCCTGGATCTAAACTGCAGAACCAGGGGTGAAGCTCTACCTCCTGAGCAGACTGGATCAGGTGAAACCCGACCCATTCTGTAGGTCCAGAACTACAGCAGAACCTTCATTCTACTGATTGAACCAGAAACTATGCAGCAGGTGATGTTCTATACGGCCCATCCCTTATCAAAGTGATGAACTGGACCTCAAACTTTGTCCTTCTCTTCATAAAGGTTCTGGACCTAGATCCATGTCTTTCAGTTATTTCCCTCATAAACACCACTGGCTTCCATTAGAAGAACCTCACTGTCCGGTTCTGATGGGTAGAACTCCTCCTGGGTAGGAGGAGAATCCTGTCAGGCTGGGTTCTGTCCAGGATTAAACCTCCTTCATCGACCCGTTTGCCCGTCGTCCAACCGGAGACGTTATTCCTTCCAAGGTGAGATTATTAGTTCTGTCCACTACAATCAGTGGCCGTTATTAAAAGTGTGGAAAACATTTTTAAATCATCGGATAAACAGATGCTAAGAAAATGATGATCTTCAGAAAGCAGTGGGTTCTATTGATCATCCAGTTCTAGAACTAGAACCTGTTAGAACCAGGCCGGTTCTGACCTGGTCTACATCCCAGATGAACAGATCCACCTGAACACGCCTGGTTCTGTCAGCGCAGAAATCTGAACCCGTCCAACATCAGACGCTAATCTGAACTCAGAACCTCAGAGTTCTGAAGCTGTATTCAGAACCCAAGTCTGATTTATGGTACCAGCAGAACCTCTGTGGCCAACGGCATCAAGTGAGGCAGCCGCTGTTTGTGAGATGGAGCTAGCGCTGCGGTTACTTCCTGTTTCCTGTTCAGTTACGTCTGTGAGCTTAGCAACCGCTAACCGATCTTCACCCAAAGATCCGGTCCAACAGAAACAGAACCGTGAAGATGTGACTGGTTAGGAGCAGGATGTTAGATGAGGACAGAGAGTGAAAGCTGCCAGCCCGGGTCGGCCTGGTTCGGCCCGGTTCGGCCCGGCGGACTCACCGGTGAAAGCAGGAGTGAACGGCACCGGGGAGAAGGCACTGTGGGGTCTGGACACCTGCAGCCTGGGGAGTCAAACAGAAACACTCGTCAGGTTATGATCGCTGGGAGGGAAATCATTCAGTCACAAACAGGAAGTGTGAACAGTCAGAACAGGAAGTAGAAAACAGTCGGCTTAAAATAGAACCAGAGGAGCTGGTTCTGGAGCTCAGCAGGTTCTGAAGAAGAAGCAGAACTTTCTGCCCAGTCTGTTCCAGGTCCAGGTTCTGGTCCTTCAGTCACCAGCAGAACCTTCTTCTCCTCTATCAGGTCCAGATTTCAGCGAGAAGCAGAGGATACAGCGCCATGGCAACCAGGATGTGACATCACCGTCTCACCTGGCATGCACCTGAGGCCCCCCCCCACCTCCGCCCACTGTAAGGGAGCCAAAAACTGCTGCCATGGAGACGAGCTTCACCAGAGAAAGGGATGCTGTCGCCATGGTAACAGCAGTCTCTCTGCTGAGCAGTCAGAGAGCCGATCGCCATGGCAACAGCTGCAGGGAAAGTTGAGCGGCAGTGAAGTTTGATGGGATCCAGGCAGCAGCCGATCCTGCCCTCAGAACCAGAACCGGACCCTGACGTCAGCAGGTCCAGGTCTGAAGGCTCCAGAGTCGGACCGGGGACGACAGGGCCTACCAGGCCATCAGAACCAGAACCTGGATGCTTCAGACCCGGATGCAGCAGTCTGTAGAACCTTCTGCAGTTTGGACAGAACTTTGAATCCTCATCCTGCCACCACCGTGCTTCAGTGTTGGTTCTGATCTCCACCTCGGGCCCAGGCGCCTCCTCCCATCCTCCGACCAGCAGGACCGGTTCTGGGTGGCGACCTTTGACCTGTAGAGGAAGGTTTAGATTAAACCCCATTAGAAGTTCTTCAGAGCTCCTTACCTGCTGCTGTCCTGGTCCGTACTGCTGCAGGTGGACCCCCACACGTCCAGCAGGCTCCCGCCTGATGAGGTGGACGACGCCAGAGACGGACGCTTGTCCAGTAGCCCCCCCGACCCGCCGCTGGAGCTCTTGGTTCTGAACAACTTGCTGAGCCGGACCTTGAGGGACCCCCCCTTCCTGGACTTTCTCCGCGGGGTCTTCTCCCCCTCCAGGACCACCAGGGGGGAGGCGGGCCGCCCGGCCCCCCCGGCCGCTACGCCCAGCTTTGGGGTGGCGGCGCGGCTCTGGGGCTGGGATCTGGACTGGTGCTGATGCTGCGGGCGGGGGCCCTGTTCTGGAGGGACGCGGGTGCTGCCCGTGGCTGCTGCGGGTGGGGGGGCCTGTGGGGGTGCGGGGGAGTGGGGGGGCACGGCAGATCGGCAGGTCTGCTCCGTGCAGACCCCCGCCTCCTCGGCCAGCCGGTGGACCTGCCGCATCAGACCGCTGAGAGTCCCGGCACAGATGACGGGTCCGACTCCCCCAGGCGTCCCTCCAGTACCGCCCCCCTCCCCATCCTCTTCTGTCTTGGTGTCCTCTTCACCCCTCCCTCCCCCCTGAGCCAGTTCCCCTACCTGCTCCGAACCCAGACCCTCCAGAACCAGCAGGGCATCGCTGGTGTCACTGGGGTCCTCCCCGGGCCCCCCGGGTCCGGTACCCAGGATACTGTGACAGGAGCAGCGAGGGAGGGGGGGCACCACCTCCTCCCCACCAACTCCCACCCCCTCTCTGCCCTCACCCAGCTGACCCAGCTTCTGGGCCAGAACCAGGACTGGATCTTCACCCCCAGAGGAGCAGGACTTCCTGTGCTCCAACAGTCCCAGGCGCAGAGCCTGCTGCAGGAGGCCCGGGGGCCACTTGGCCAGGCGGTGTCTGTGACACAGGATGGGGATGGACTCAGGGTCCAGAGGCGGGACCTGCGGGGGGTTCTGTGGGCCCTCAGACCCTTTGGAGAGTCGGACCACTGGGTGCCACTGCGGGGTCTCTTCAGGGGACTGGGTCTTCTGCTCCTTCCCTCCTCCGGTAGGATCGTTAACAGAACCTGGTCCTGGTCCCGGTCCTGGTCCCGGTTCTAGTCTGTCTGCCTCCTCCTGCAGGAACCCTGCGGGCGGCTGCTGCAGTCCGGACCGCAGCAGGTTCTGGAGAACCATCAGCTGAGCCCTGGATCCATGTCCCCCCGAACCGTCCACGAACCGCTGCGCCGCTGCGGCAAAATCCTCTGACGGCGGCGACAGCGACGCGTCGGAGGTCTGCGGGGCCTGCGGCAGCCCCAGGCCGCCCTCCAGCTCCACTCTTCCGGGAAGCGGCGAACTGTAGTGCGGGGATGCGGAGCCGAGGCCTGCGGAGGGGCCGCTGGGATCCACCTCAAACCCGCCGCCGCGGTGACCCAGCGCGGCTTTCACCGACCCGAACCCGCCGCCGCCGGACCGGATCAGGCCGTCCGGCTCGTCCAGCCGGTCATACTCCGCGGCGGAGACGAGCCGCATCAGGACGAAGTCCGGAGACATTTCTTGCTGCGCGTCATTCATGGCGGCGGGCGAACGGCTCCGCTCTTACATAACAGCTGCTGCATCTCAGCTCCGGGCCGCGAACACCTGCAGGCCGGACCGGGCTGGGACTGGACCGGATCCACGGAACCACCATCAACCGACCAGGCCCGGTTAGCGGCGAGCCTCCGACCGACTCATCCTCACTGAGACAACGGGATGTGATGAAGAGGAGGGCGGGGAGCGGAGCTGCGCAGGCGGCTTCACTCATCGATCCGCGGGGACCAAGGAGCGCCCAGTTCACCATCATTTACACTTTATTTACATTATTATCACATTATTTTATACCGTTTTTATCTAAAATGACATGTTGAATATTTTAAGCTTCAATGATGTAATGAGACCAGAGAGCAAAGCTGCAATTATTACTATTAGTTTATACATTTATTAATTTCTTTTTATTTGTAAAAAAAAAAACAAAAACAAAAAATTGCAATTTAAAGTATATAGAAATATTAATGATTATTTTTATTTTTCCATCGTTTTCACTTTATTTTGTTTCTTAGTTCATTGCAATTAACTAATGGGGGGATTTATCATTAGGCAATACTAGGCAGTTGCTTAGGGCCCCAAGTTCCTGGGGGCCCCATAAAAATCTGTTCGCATGTAGAGTTAATACAACTATTCCTTATTTGTGCACATTAATTATGTTTTTGATAAAAATCCTTTGACTAAAATGCCATCAGAACGCTGATAATATTATGTGTGTCTCAGCCCCCCCTTCAGTGTCCACCATATTGGATCAGTCCATTTGCTGCACATGTTCAGAAAGGTCCAAACAGACAGCAGCAAACCATTTGAAAACAAACCATGCAAAGAGCAGTGTTGCCAACTTAGCGCTTTAGTCGCTATATTTAGCCACTTTTCAGACCCCTCTAGCACTTTGATTTCTAAAAAGCTCCTAGCGCCAAATCTAGAGACTTTTTTCTGCTACTGGAGACTTTGGAGACAACATCTAAAAGCAGCGAACTCTGCTCTCCAGAGCGAGTAGATTGGTAACCCCGCCTCCTGCTCTCCTCTATCTTGTCTGCTGTCATGATTCATGCAGCTATTATTTCATCCAAATGAGAAATGGAGAACAGATAAGCAGATCATGGCTTGTCTGCAGTGAAAAGAAGGACTGGGTTATTTACTTTGGCCTTTTTGGAAACACAGGAAGGAGCAATCAGCTAAGTGAGCTTAGTGCTTGGAAAAAATCTTTCATTCCTTTAGAGACAGCATGAAAAGTCAGCTGAGAACAAAACATAGAGAGGAAAACAAGAAGAAAAGGGACAAGAAGAGAGGGACACAACCTAGAACAGATAATAGATGTCTATTCTATTAACATTTCTACATCTGTAGAATGGGGCTGTTTTATGCGTTTTCTTCTCACTTCAAAAGGGGCCCCTTCCTGTATTTGCCTAGGGACTCAAATTTCCTACATTCACCTCTGGAATTAATGTGACATCTTTATTGGTGCTTTGAAAGTTAAATGATTTATCCTGTTTCCATCCTCTAGACCTCAGTAAAGTCTTTACAGTGAATAAATCCTAAATGAATGAATAAATGTGATGTTAGAGAGGAGAAAACACTCATACACAGGAAACCTGCAGAAAGAGGCTTTAGGATTCAAACCATGTGGGGCCAAGATTTATTTTATTTTAACCCCAAATAAAAGTGGATTTCTGCAGAAAACATTGAAACACTTTTGTTTAGTTAGTCAGTTATTAGCTAAGTCAGTGTAAATAATAAAAAAAAACACTCAAATGAACAAGGTGATTTCAAGAAATGAGTAAAATGTGTATTTATGCACACAAACGCCAGTAGGACATTTAAAAGAATAAACAGAGATATGAAGACTTACTGAGATTTATGGTCATGGTTAAAAAGTCAAACTGCTGCTGACAGGAATGATCTGCGATAGCGCTCATTGATGCAGCTCAGGTCTGCTCCCCGGGCGCCGCACAATGGCAGCCCTTTGCTCCCCAAGGGGAAGGCTTAAATGCAGAGGTAAATTTCTCCAATAAAGTTCAACTTTTATTATAAATTATTAGGTGCAGCAGTGTGGAAGAAGAGGGGAGTTTTTCCTCTCCACTGTCATTACATGCATGCAGAGAATCCTGTAAAGTCAGTGACTGAATGCAATCGGATGGTTTTCTTTAGAAAACGTCAAACCTTTAATTACTTGGATCATCTAATTGAATTTTCTCTGGAAAGTGACCTTAAATGAAAAGGTAAAGTGAATTTTCATTTATATAATTAACATTTAAATGTGAATCAATATTTTATTTTACTTAAGGATTAATAAAGTTTTTCTTTTTTTTTTTTATTAAATTGAATTTGAGCATTAGAAATTATATTTATTCTGCAAACTCTTGCAGCTTTTCGTCTCTTTTCTCTGCGACAGAGAATTCCATGGGTCAGGACTCAACAGCACCACCTGGCGGCAAAAGATATTAACTCCATCTGCACTAGTCAGTATGTGTCCTGCCCACTGATCTCTATTTATTCACCATATCTCAGTTAATAAAGTAAAATATCGTGGTTTTATTTTTTAATAGGACCTGTCATTTAAATCACATATCAAAGAGGTTTTTAGAATTTCCTTCTTTCATCTGCGGAAATTGTGATGAAATTCCGTGAACACATTCTGTGTCCTTCCTTTGCCGCAGCTACAGTTTTAATAATCCACTGTGATATAAAATAGATGTGATAAAATAGCTAAACTTAAACACAAATCTTGCATCAGAATCAAAAAGGAATTCCTCTCTGCGCTGCGAGCAGGGTTCGAACCTGCGCGGGGAGACCCCATTGGATTTCAAGTCCAACGCCTTAACCACTCGGCCATCGCAGCACGCAGCGGCCGGAAGGTCACGTGGTATATTATCGCACACATATTTATTGAGGCTGTTGATTTTCTATCTGGATCGGAACTCTGTTCGGAACTCTGTTCGGAACTCTGTTCGGATTTACGGCAGCGGGCTGTTTCCGTAAACTAAAGAAGGGAGTGGTAATATCAGCCTAGCTCCACTAGAGGGAGCCATATCTACAGATCAGAGTTAGCCTGACCGTCTCTTCATCACTTATTCAGGGTATTTAGGATTAAGTTATTGGAAAATTAAATAAAGAAATAATTCTGAATTCATAGGAGACCAGTTTTCTTTTTTAGATATCCTGAGATTCAGAGCAAGTAACTATATTTAAGTAAACCCCCTCTGTAAGGATCAATATGCCTTTGATAAAAATGAATCACTCATTTTTACTAATTACGTTATTTTGGTGATTATTAGTACTATTAACCGAAGGTAGATATGAGGGTCTAAACTAACTGACCCCCTCAGGAAATTTGAGCTTCTTTGTTTTTTTTTTAAATTATTTACACTGACTTAGAAAAAAAAATGTTTTAACGTTTTTCTGTTGAATTCCACTTTTATTTGGGGTTAAAATAAAATAAGTCCATTTGCTGCACATGTTCAGAAAGGTCCAAACAGACAGCAGCAAACCATTTGAAAACAAACGATGCAAAGATGCCAACTTAGCGCTTTAGTCGCTATATTTAGCCACTTTTCAGACCCCTCTAGCACTTTGATTTCTAAAAAGCTCCTAGCGCCAAATCTACAGACTAAATAAAAATTTATCTGCGTTAAAAAAGTGAAAATCTAAACAGGTTTTATTATTTTTAATGTCTTTTAACTGTAGAAATCATTCCTGCTGTCAATGTTTTCTGAGAAAGAATAAATAATAATCATGATATTAAAAGTGTGAATAAACGGAACAGATCCATACACGGTTTTAAACATTTTTTTTTATTCGAAAGTGTTTTATATCTTATGACCTGAGGGGGCAGCAAAGCTTTAAATGTGCCCAGAGCGCCAGAAACCAAAGAAAGAAGAAGCCAGACTGCTGGACCCCATGTCCCAGAATGCCGTGCCGTGGTGCTGACGTCATAGGTCTGCGCCCGCTTCGTGTGTTTCCCTCCGGTTGCTCTGTTCGGCTTCCATCCGTGTTCCTCTCTTTTTTCTGCTCCAGTTTTCCAGGAACCCAGCGGACCTGAGGCCAGGATGGGCCCCGTAGAGGTGAGCTTAGCTCCGATCAACATTTCTTCCTGTTTCTTTATGATCTCCGGAAAAATTAGGAAACAGAAAATCTCAAACCGGCAGCGCTGCTTCGGGTGATCTTTAGGGCGAAATAAATGACTATTTAAAATATATATTTTTTCTATTTTCACTGAAGATTATCAAAAAGCTCAATTCTGATCATTTCTGTTTTGTTTTTGTTTTTCTTTTCTTTCTGAGCTCAGAATTCTGATTCTAAACGAAATAACGGATTCTGTTTAGAAAACAATGAAAATAGGATTTGTTTAATTATTATTGAAAAATAATTTATTCTAATTAAATGTTTTTAGCCCTTCGGCGTCAGGTTAGTTTTAATGTTGAGTTCGGGCTGATTTCAGATTAATTTAGAAGTTTTATTTTGATGAAAACCTGTTGGATCAAAGGACGAACAGCACTTTGTTGCTGCAGAGTCACGTGACTTGATTCCAGGGACCTGATTGGAGCCGGGTGGTAACTGAGCATGCGCACTTGACCAAGCTCATTAAAGGCTTCCTTTTATTGTTTTAACACATTTCTACAGAATAATTATTCAAGAAAAGAGATCAGAGGAAATAAATGTTAGAAAAGCTAAACCGGTTCGGTCGGATGGTCTGATGATGAGATTAAATTTCTTCTTAGATTAGAGATTTTCTTAGAAATTTCTTTTTAGAAAAGGTTGATGAGAAAATGATTCCGTTCCTCTGATCAATCAATCAACCATGGCGGATTCTCATGGACTCATCTGGGAGCTGCTGAACACTTTTATTTTATTTCAGGCTCAGACAGAGCGAAGAAGAATCGACTTCTTTCATATTTCTTCTTTCATTGTTAGTAGGAATAATCAGATCCCAGCCGAAAACGTCAGAAACTCCCGTCAGAAACCAGATCCCTGTTCGCTGCGTTTCTCAGCCGTTTCCTTGGAAACGAATGACTAAGTGATGAAAAAGCTCTTTTTCCGACGTGTTTCTTCCTCCTCATCGCTCCTTCTCGTCTGCTGCAGCTGCTCCACATGACGGTTTTCTCCCAGAGCTTTTCTCCCTGCGGACGCTTCCTAGCGGCGGGGAACAACTACGGCCAGGTGGCCTTGTTCAGGTGAGACCCGACAGATGTCACTGAGCCGCCCTCAGCAGGGGCTCTGGCCTCATCCTGCCTCTCCCTCTGCTGTGCTTTCAGCCTGGCGGCAGCCCTCAGCCCAGACGCCACGGCGGCCAATCAGAAGCCTGTTCTGACGTTCAAAGGTGCGTTTGATTCGTGTTCCTCCTGTAGGTCTGTCTGTCGGGAGGTGAAGGTTTACGGGTGATAAATAAATTCCTCTGAGTCGACCAGAACACGGAAGAACAAAAAAGTTTCCTGCTGGAGATAAAACTACGTAAAAGTTTTACAGATTTAAAACAAATTTACTTTTTCTTAAAGTTGAATATAAAAAAATTACAATTAAAAAAAGTTTAGCTGCTTAAGTTGAAATTTTCTAATAAATTTTTTTTAAGAAAATTTTATCTGCGTTAAAAACGTGAAACTCTAAAGAGGTTTTAATCTTTTTATTATTTTTAATTTCTTTTAACCGTAGAAATCATTCCTGCTGTCAATGTTTTCTGAGAAAGAATAAATAATAATCATGATATTAAAAGTATCTTAAACCATTTTAAATAATGCGTTTAAATGCGTATTTATTTTTATTCAAATAGAGAAAACTTTATTAATCCCAGATAGAAATTAAACAGCAAACTTTATTGTAACATTTCAGAACCTGTTTAAAGATTAAACATTTTTTTCTTCTTCTGTCCGTTTAATCACTAAAGTCTTTTGTCTTAAAATGTTTTCTGGTGTAAAAATCTGTAAAAATATTTATTTGTTTGATTTTATTATCAAACCAAATTAATTGATTTAAACAGAGGTTATTTTCTAAAAACTCAGGTTCTTTTTTAAGGCTGCTGTTAAATAGTTTATTAACTGATTCATCTAAAAAAATATTATTGTATCAAATTTACGTGACTGAATACTATGATGGAGTATTAGGGCCAGGCTAGAGATTTTTTAATCTTTATTCTCATAAAGTCGCAACAAGAATAGTCATAAAATTATGAGAATAGTCATAAAATTACGAGAATAAAGTCGGAACATTATGAGAATAAAGTCGCTACGAGAATAGTCGTAAAATTACGAGAATAAAGTTGCAACAAGAATAGTCGTAAAATTACGAGAATAAAGTTGCAACAAGAATAGTCGTAAAATTACGAGAATAGTCATAAAATTACGAGAATAAAGTCGCTACGAGAATAGTCGTAAAATTATGAGAATAAAGTCGGAACATTACGAGAATAAAGTCGCTACGAGAATAGTCGTAAAATTACGAGAATAAAGTTGCAACAAGAATAGTTGTAAAATTACGAGAATAAAGTCGCGAAATTTTGAGAATAAAGTCGCAATGAAAATAGTCGTAAAATTACGAGAATAAAGTCGAGAAATTATGAGAATAAAGTCGCAGTGAAAATAGTCAGAAAATTACGAGAAAATAGTCAGAAAATTACGAGAATAAAGTCGCAAAATTTTGAGAATAAAGTCGCAATGAAAATAGTTGTAAAATTACGAGAATAAAGTTGGAACATTACAAGAATTAAGTCACAACAAGAATAGTCATAAAATTACAGGAATAAAGTCGTAACAACAATAAAGTCGTAAAATCATTAAAGTAAAGTCGTAATATTACATGAATAAAGTCGTAACGAGAATAGCTATAAAATTACGAGAAACAAATCGTATTTTATACTGACTCTTCCCAGAAGCCCTTCCTTCCCTAAAATGAGGAATGTGGAGCATCATGGGAAGTTCTACTTTAGCAGGAAATCTTTTAGCAGCAGCATCAAACTGGGCAGGATGTCAAAGTGGACTCTGGTTGCTGATTGGTGGAGCTGGTCTGATGTCATTTGCTGGGCGGAGCTCCAAGCTTTCTTTCTGAAACAGGTTGTTGTTTGATGACTTAATTCTCGTAATATGTCAACTTTATTCTCGAAATAAAAATAAAAACTCTCTAGCCTGGCCCTAATACTCCGTCATAAAACACAGAAAAGTATGAAAACCTAAAATAAAATAAAAAATCCATAAAATGGTAAAAACAGAGTGATGAAAGCTTTGATCGGTGAGAGGATCTGCAGATTTACAGACAATTAATCTGAAATTAAAGTAGATTAATTTATTATAGTTCAAGTTTATTCATGTTGTTCTGAGTTACCATGAATCCTTTATTTTAATAATCGATTTTTCATCGTCGCTTCAGTTCTAGTTTGCTTGTTTCTGCAATTCGTTCTGTTTAATGTTGAATCTATTAACGCCTGAAGCAGAAACGTTCAGACGGTTGTTTTAATGAGAACCGAAGCGGTTCTGAGTTCTGATTGGATCCCAACGAGTCTCAGCGTCCCGCCTCCTTCCCTGCAGCTCATGAAGGTCCGGTCTTCAGCCTCCTGTCCAATGATGGCGTCCTGCTGAGCGCCGGGAACGGAGAGGTCAGCGCCTGGAGCTGGACCGAACTCATCAAGAAGGTAACGCCCGCCCCCTACAGAAAGCCGTTAGTGCCAGAAACCAGTGCTGCTCCATCCGGTAACGGATCAGAACCTCTGACCAGGAGAGGCTGCGCAGTCGTCCGCGGTGCAGCCGTGATGTAAACAGTTGTGTTCGAGGACCGCAGGAAATCTGATTCTTTTGAAAGCCTGTTAGGGCGGCGCTGGTTTTTGGTGACTGACGACTTGCCATAGCGCTCAGAACCTTTGGCAGTGACGAACCTGGTGTCTCCTCAGAACGTGAAGCCGCTCTGGACCAAGAGGCCCGACTACAAGTGAGGATGACTGCGGCGCTCGCCGTCCGCCGGTCGTCAGGGGCGACAGCGTATCACGTCTCTGTTGTGTCTTTGGCAGGTCGGGTCTGGAGATCCCAGAGATCAACTCCATGGCCATCAACCGTCGGGTGAGAAGCAGAGCGTCCGAGTAGACGAGGGGGGCGGGGCGATAGGGGGCGGGGCGAGTCTGACGGTGTTTTCTGTCTCCAGGACAACAGCCTGGCGGTCGGCGCTGGAGACAACAACGTCCACATCCTGGACCTGGAGCACGGAGCCTTCAAGGTGCGTCAGCATCGTCTTCTTTTCCTGCAGCCAATCAGCCGTGTCTGATCATCCCCCCCCCACAGGCCACGCTCCAGGGTCACACTGACTACGTGCACTGTGTGTGCATGCGGGAACGGGAGGCGGAGCTTCTGTCAGGCGGAGAGGATGGCGCCGTGAGGATGTGGGGTGAGTATCAGCCGCCTCCATCGCCAACAGATGATAACGATGATGATGATGATGATGATGATGCGTCCTTCAGACAGCCGGACGGGTCAGTGCGTCCACCGCATCGAGCTCTACAAGTATGAGGTGAGTGGCGAGCGGCCGAACAGAACCGCACGGTTCCTCGCAGACAGAACCGAACCAAACCCGTCTTCTGTTTCAGAGCTGCGCCAGACCTCAGTACGGGAAGTGGATCAGCTGCCTGACCACCGACTCCGACTGGATGGTAAGTAGTCACCTGGTTGCCAGGGCGACCCCCCCGCCGCGTTCTAACGGCCTGTCTGTCCTGCAGCTGTGTGGAGGCGGGCCGTCTCTTTCCCTCTGGCACCTGCGCTCCCTGTCCCCCACCTCCGTCTTCCCTCTGAGCGGCTGTCAGCGCCAGGCCGTCTTCCACCAGGACATGGTGAGAACCGCCCGGACCGAGTCCAGCCAGCGGGCCGCCACGCCACTCACCATGTGTCTTTGTCTGTAGATCCTGGCCGCCGGCGACGGCGCCTTCGTCTCCCACTGCCTGCTGGGAGGAGAGGTCAAGGCCCAGATCCCGTGCACGGCGCCGAGCCTCAACACGCTGCAGCTGAACACCAGGAGCTCTGAACACCGGGTGGGTCCCTGAACGTGGCGCCGGCGGTCTGGTCCGGTCCGGTCCGGTCCGGTGTGCTGACGGCTGTTTGTGTTACAGATGCTGACGGTGGGCGGCGGCAGCAACCGCATCGACATCTTCACCAACCTGTCCTACAGAGCCTTCTCCCTCAGCTTCTGACCCGTCATCCGGACCGCTTCCCAGACTGTTCTGATGAGGCGTAGAACCTGAAGCCCAAATAAAACCTGATCTTTTCTTATATTTCTACAACCGCTGGTTCTGTGTGTCTGTTTACGGCAGCCCGTTACGACCCGTTCTATCAACTGGACTTGAAACCGATTCAGAACCGCTCCTTCAGCGAGCGGACTGGAACCCAGCTGTCCGTTTCCTGAGAAGCTCTTTCTCCAGGATCCAGGAGCAAAGCGCTTCAGCCTGAGAGGCGTCTGCATCAGAACCACGCGTTTCAGGAAGTCCTTTCAAATTAAAGCTCAAATAACAGAAAAGCAGAGATCTGAACTTTCAAAATAAAACTCCAGAGTTATATAAAGCAATGAAACGAGAAGCTCCCTAAATGTCGCAGACATAGAAAAAGAAGCATAGATACAAAAGGCAACTGTCAACCAGCTCCACAGGCGGCCCCGTCCAGGAAACACACAGCCAGGCAGACGAGCTCCGAGCCAGCTCCCATGTCAGAGGATGAAGAGAGCACATCCAGTTAGTCACAGTCAGAGAAACAGGACTACACTGGAAAACAGGCCGATCTCCAACATCTAGATACAAAGGTGTTGATGGCAGCAGCACAGCTGATATTTCTCTCCATCATTTGATGTAGAGATAACGAAATAAACAAATTAACCAGAGCAGGAAACAGGAAACACCTTCAGAGGTTAGCAGCAGCTAAACGCTGGCAGATGTTTACATCCATGTTCCTCCATCATAGAAACACATGATCCAATCTATGTCAATATTAAAACAGTTTAGATTTTTATATTCAGATTAAATTACAACCATTAACAGATCTATTCTATATAGATTTCTATAAATCTGAAGCAGCAACATAAAAAAATACGTTTTATTCTCATTAAACGTCCAGATGAATGAAAAATAAGCTCTCAGGGCATCAAAATAATCCGTCCTAAAGTTATAGTAAACAATATTAGGAATATATTTTCACGATCCTAAACCTATTTTCTATTCATAGACACGGCTGTGCTTTTTTATTTAAATAAGCTTTTATTATTTAGACAGGATATAAATATAAAATTTAAACTTAATGTATATTTAACTTTTTCATGTTCTGATAATTTTCCATTGTAGAAATATAACAATAAAAATGGCCTCCACATCGATGGTTCTAGCAGCATTAAAGCTGGTGTAATTATGGGCCCCAAATTCCTGGTGGCCCCCCTGCTTCCAGGACTCGGTTGGGTTGGGCTTTAGTGTCGGGGACTGAGGCAGGTGGGCTCCAGTGGGCGGGGCCACAGGTAGGCCTGTCGGGCAGCTGCAGCAGCTTGGAGGTCATGTTCCTGTGGAGCGTCTGCCCCTGAGGAAGACCAAACCAACCTCTGAGCCTTTTAGAAACACCCAGAGCCGAGCGGCTGACTATGGAGGAAAGTTTGTTCCATTATTCCATCCAGCAAAGAGAACATTTTGTTTGTTGAAATATAAAATAAAAAAAAGTAAAAGCTTTCTGTAGCACTTTAAATTTTAAATGACTTGTATTTATAAAGCGCTTCCCGAATCAGGAGAGAAAAAGCTAAAAAATAATAAAACAGCATAAATATTAGGGGTGTGCATTGGCACTGCCCTCACGATTCGATTCCGATTCACCAGGTAACGATTCGATTCAATTCGATTCTACGATGCATTGTGATGCATCAAAATCCCATTGACTTCGTGAAATCCGAAATGTGCCCAGATATCCGCTTTCCAAGCTTTTGGTGCGTTTTTAATTAGGCCTACCCGTCTATCACGGTCATCTCCCTCCGCCTCAGCCATCTTGATTGTTGTTGGTATGCCCACAGAAGTAATTGAAACATCACAAGTTGTCCATTTGAGGCCAGAAAATAAACAGTGACATAATCGATTATGGCACGTTGCCGCATCGATGCTGAATCGTGCATGCCCCGCATTGCAATGCAACGCTGAATCGATTATTGTTGACACCCCTAATAAATAGGTTTAAATTTAATAATTTTCTATATTTTTTTTGCCACCAGGAAACAGAAATCTTCCCAAACTGCAAAGCTCTCGTCTTCATTGCCAATCCAAACGCTCCGTTCCACCAGAAAAAAATGTTCCTAGGTCCAGCTGACCAAAGGAAACTCAATCTGAAACAATAAATAAAACAGAAAAAATAATAATAAATGAAACTAAAAATGAAAAAAGTAAAAAATAAAACATCACAAAAAGACAAATTTATTCTCCAAACCTGTTTTGATTAAAACTTTTTCCAGAATTTAATTTGTAGTTTGAATTTAATCAAATTTTTAGTTTACAAAATGAGTTTTTTTTTTTTGTTATTTACTAAACATTTGGCAGCAATAATGGAAGGAACTGTCCGTGGTACTGATCCAGACTTTTTTTTTATATATAACTTTATTTGGAACAGTAACAATGACTCAAACAATACAGTATAATAAAGCATAGCATAAAGTCAATCATACCTTCTAACACTTTTCTTCATATTTTTTTCTTTTCTTTCAAGTTGCGAGGTAAACAAATGTTTAGTTTATGCACTTCAGAGAGAAAAAAAAAAATCGAAATCCAAAGATATCTATAATTACATATGTAATATAACAGAATTATAATGAAAGATAAATGAATAAATAAAAATAATAAAAAAAAAAATACAAAACACACAAAAAAAAATTAAAAAAGCCAAGTTAGCATCATTCTTTAATTTGTATGGAGGGATTGCTGAAATAAATTAGAGAGGTGATATGACAAACTTTTTGCTTTTAGTTTCTGAATTTTGTCCAAGGAAATGTTTATAAGATGGATCTCCTGTTTAAATTCAGACCAGATCGGTTTAGCTTTTCCAAATCTGCATTTATGTATATAAACTTTTAAAGTGATGATAATGCTATTAATGAGATAATATTCATCTTTTGTTTTCAGATAAAAAAAAACATATAAGACAGTCTGTAATGAGAAGGAGGCGTGTTTATGAGTTTACTAGTCAGTAGAGAGCAAAGATTCACACAATTGTTTGATAGGTTGACAGCTGACATCTATTAAAGCAATAGCTACACCTGAACAACCATTTGTTCAATGACTAAAAACCATCTTATCTTCACTGTTGAGTCTAAAATTTCCCATGGGTGGATTCTGAGTGCGTCTCTTAAAGAAAAACACATTTAGCCTTCTGATTTTTGCAGAATAAAACTACAGCTTTACGCTTAACAGAGTCTTTGATCCCTCTCACCTTAAAAGAAAAAAAAGATCAGTCTTTAAATTAAGTCCTGACTGAATTATGAACAATAACAAAAAAACCAAAGAATATATGTTAAGTTCTAGGAGGCAGAGCAGCAACACTTGAGAAGAGTCCCTCTAACAGTCCAAAGAATTAAATTTCTCCATCTATTAATGATCAAACCTCTCATACTGATAACACTTCAGCCTGTAATACGCTTTCCTTGGATGTAGGCAGGGATCCTCTGAATCCCGCAGCCTTACCCTCTGTAGCCTTACCCTCCGCAGCCTTACCCTCCTCCCTTGCCTTCTCCATTCTTGGCCGCAGTGCCCGCCTGGGTTTCCAGTCCTCCTGGTTCAGATCCTCTGCAAACCGAATCCCTTCTTCTTTGCAGATCCTTGATGCTTTAGTTTGCTTCATCTCTTACATTTCCTTTATCAAACAGGATTATTATTTGTTTTCTGCAGGTCTCCCACTCTATGAACTACATCAGTGGCATCTTCCATCTTTTCAGGCTGGTCAGGGAAAATCCTGCTTAGCAGCTCAACAACTTCAGCCTTAAGGTCTTCTTTCTTTCTCTCCCTGCTCTGCTTTATAAACCCGTCTGAACTGAACACTGAGGAACCAGAGAAGGAGAACGACATTTGGCTTCATGCTGGAACTGATTTTATTCATAAAAAAGAAACATTTATAGGATAAATCTTCACTCATACTGTTCACTTTTTAAACGTCTGTGACAGAAAAACGACGGACGGCGCGTCGTGGAGAAACATCTGCGATGAGCAGCAGCCAGTCATCCTTCCAGGACTCGGTTGGGCGGGGCTTTAGTGTCGGGGACTGAGGCAGGTGGGCTCCGGTGGGCGGGGCTTCAGGCAGCGGACAGGCAGGCCTGTCGGACGCTCTGGGCCCAGGTGTTGAGCAGCTCCGTCACAGAGTGTTTGTCGGGCAGCTGCAGCAGCTTGGAGGTCATGTTCCTGTGGACCGTCTGCAGGAAGCCGTTTGCACCTGAGGAAGACCAACACAACGCTCAGATCTTCATCCTCTGAGCTTTTCTTTAATGCTACATTTGGACCAGAAACGCCACAGGCAGGAGGAGCAGCTAGTTTACACGCAAAGTCAATGGTTGAACGCGCATCAAGACGCAGCAAAAGGTCCTGCGGCGTGTTACAAGCAGCAGCTGCTGGACGCGCCACATCGACCAATCAGAGAAGCTGATCTGGGAGCTGGCAGGGAGTCAGACGCAGCAATGATGATGCAGAGCGCTATGATCACTCCTCTGAAACAGTTTATTAACGCCTAAATTAACTTCAAATGTAGAAACCTGCCGGCAGAATATGTTGGCTTTTATTATCCTGCTGCCTGCAGTTTGTAGCACAGACCTGAAAAACGCTAACATCTACTTCCAGCCGCCACCAACAGGAGGGGAAAACCCCCGAGAGGCGAGCGGGCCTGAGGCAGCTGCTGCTGGGGATTCCCAGTGACAGCGCAGCGCCGGTATGTCTACTGATGGTGGTCAGATGGTGGCACCAGCGTACAGCAGCCTGGCTTCCGTCAGTGAGCGCCAGGGCAGCAGTGGCTACAATGTAGCTCACCACCATCAGTGTGTGCGTGAATGTACTGGAAACCTTTTTCCTATTTTATTTTCTCTTCTTTTAGAGATTTTATATTTTATTTTTTTCCAGCAGGACACAGATATCTTGAAAAGGTCTCGTCCTCAGGCCAATCCAAACACTCGCTTTTGACCAGTAATAATGTGTCTAGGTCCAGCTGACCAATAGAAACGCTTCACTCTGGAGGAAAGCCCGCCCCCAGAGATGAGAGAAGGTCAGTTAAAAAGAACGCAATTTTTCTGAAACTCAATCGGAAAAAAAAATAAAAAATTGAAATAAATAATAAAATAAATGATTTTTTTTCAGTTTAATAATTAGACTGAATTACTAAATTACAACATTTAGTAATTTACTAAAAATAAAATAAACATTTGGCAGGATTAATGGAAGGAACTGTCCTCGGTACTGATTGGGACTCTGTGGCTCCTCACCGTACTGATCGCCATCGTCGGCCCAGTGGGGACTCTGGTCCGGATAGTCGGCGGGAACGCTGAGCTGCAGAGGAGGAACGCTGGGAAGGTTTTTATCGTCTGATGGACAAAAAACAAAACAGAGATGAAAAGCAGCAACGTTCGGATCCAGCAGCTTCCAGAAGCTTTTCACAGGAACCATCAGGGCAGCTTTGATCAGCCAATCACAGCGTCTCACCTAACTTGCAGATCAGGTGCACCGTGCCGTTGTTGCTGCAGAAGGACGGGTCCAGATTAACCAGGAACTTGATGTCGAGGCGCGCCACCTCCCCCTGCAGGATGTCTGGGATGGTCTGCCTCTCGTCTTCCTCATGCTTCCTCTTCCTCCCGCAGATATTAGGCCCCCTGAGGAGCAGATAACGGGGGTCAGACACAGACAGGGCGAGGCGAACCAGTGAGGAGCAGAAGGAGAGAGGCATACGTGATGGGCGGTCCGTGGATGGCGCTCATGGCCGGAGCGAAGGTCCGGTACAAGGAGTGGTTGAAGACTGGAGAGCGAATGTTGGCCATGACTGCGTCCAGCAGCGGCTGACACAGATACTGCTGCTTGGTGGGCACCGGAGGAGGGGGAGGGGTGGGCTGAAACAGAACCGAGAACAGTCTGAGGTCCAGTCAGACAAACACCGTAAGTTCTGGTCGGACTGAAGCATCAGATTCTGATGGTTTAAGATTAAAAATAAGGAAGTGATAAATTAAAACCAGGATCAATTTAGACGTCAAACATGGACGACGCAGGAGACGAGAACCCTGACAGGGCTCTTATTTTGGAAAAAACCCTGACAGGGCTCTTATTTTGGAAAAAACCCTAATCGGGCTCTTATTGTGAAAATATCCCTGACAGGGCTCTTATTGTGAAAAAGTCCTGAGGACGCTCTTATTTTTGGAATAACCCAGACAGGGCTCTTATTGTGAAAAAAACCCTGACAGGGCTCTTATTGTGAAAAAAAAACCCTGACAGGGCTCTTATTGTGAAAAAAAAACCCTGATAGGGCTCTTATTGTGAAAAAACCCTGACAGGGCTCTTATTTTTGGAAAAACCCTGACAGGGCTCTTATTGTGAAAAAACCCTGACGGTGCCCTTTTTTTTGGAAAAACCCAGACAGGGCTCTTATTGTGAAAAAACCCTGACGGTGCCCTTATTTTTGGAAAAACCCAGACAGGGCTCTTATTGTGAAAAAAAACCCAGACAGGGCTCTTATTGTGGGAAAAAAAACCCAGACAGGGCTCTTATTGTGGGAAAAAAAAACCCAGACAGGGCTATTATTGTGAGGGAAAAACCCAGACAGGGCTATTATTGTGAGGGAAAAACCCAGACAGGGCTCTTATTGTGGGAAAAACCCAGACAGGGCTCTTATTGTGGGAAAAACCCAGACAGGGCTCTTATTGTGAAAAAAAACCCAGACAGGGCTATTATTGTGAAAAAAAACCCTGACAGGGATATTATTGTGAAAAAAACCCAGACAGGGCTATTATTGTGAAAAAAAACCCTGACAGGGCTGTTATTGTGAAAAAACCCTGACAGGGCTCTTATTTTTGGAAAAACCCAGACAGGGCTCTTATTGTGAAAAAACCCAGACAGGGCTCTTATTGTGAAAAAACCCCAGACAGGGCTCTTATTGTGAAAGCCTGGCTTTGGGCAGAGGCCCAGACGCTGCGTGGCGGCGCTGATCGGACATAATTGGCCTAATGAACCTCTTGGTTCCATCGTCTCTTCTGGATTAAGTCTCTGATTTCTAATAATCATGATGGATTAACTTCACTGCTGTTTTTTATTCAGCCCGTCAGACTGGAGCTAATGATCCTCTCTGTCTTCATGCAGCAGCGAAGAACACGATGGACCCGGATTCAAAGCTCTTCATAGATCCATCAAACACAGAGTGGGTGCGGACGGCGTGGCTCTTCTTACCACGGCCATGTCGTTCTTCAGTTTCTCCAAAGCGATTTCACATTTCTGCAGCGTCTTCAGGGGACACCTGGAGGTCAGAAGAACAAAGAGGCCGAGAGTTGAAGCGGCGTCTCTGAGTGGGGAGGAGCTGCGGGTTTCCAGACGCTACCTGATGTTGGGGTCGGTCAGGATGTTCAGCAGACTCTTCATCTTGCTCAGGTCCTTCTTCCTGTCTGTCAGCAGAACCACAAACATTCACTTCAATTAAACATTAAATTTATCTTCATAATAAACAAAGGAATTTATTTTATGTTAGATTGCAGAGCAGCAAGACAGAAACTATGGAGATAATTAGACACTAAAGTTTGTTCAAAAACAATAAAAAAAAAAAATTGAAAACTTAAAAATATTTAAGTTTTTATTTAGTAAAAAAAAAAAAAAGGATTCAAAATAAACCCCCCCCAAAAAAATTATGATTCAGATTTAACTAATGATTTTAAACAATTGACCCCTCAGCATGGGGGCGGGGCTTAGATGAGCCGGGGTGTGGAATGACGACTGATTGAATAAAATAATCTGTGGGAACTGTGGGAGCAAGAACTGTCTTTAAAGCATCATCGACAGCCGTTTCTGTCGCCGTACGACTTTATGAATAAAGTTTGGCATCATTTTCAGTCACTGCTGAACGATTTTTATCAAAGTAAAGAGGAACCATCGGCATCATCAGCTCAGACCAGTGAATCAGCTCATCCTTTTAAATCAAGGTTTTTAAGTCGCTTCTATTTCCTACGGTCCCTAAATACATCAGATGGGAATATTTTCCATTTATGGAGTCGGACATAAAATCTGGTTTCTTTAACATCGTTGGGAGATTTTCGTGCTGCTGAGTTCAGGGTTTCCTCAGAAGAAGATCCGAGGTTAAAAGGTCGCTCACCTTCGTTCTTGTCGATCTTGTTGATCATGCGGCGCAGCGGCTCGATGTATTTGGACAGCTGCTTCAGTTTCTCCATGTACTGCTGCTCCTCCAGGGACGTGGCTCCAGCTGGACTCATGGCTGAGGCAGGGTTAACTGTGTGCGGGGAGAGGGTGGGGGTCACATGACCTGCAGCCCTGGTTCTGGTCCAACCTTCAAATCTCAGAGGATCTTTCTGGGTTACCTGGAGTGTTCAGGGGTCCGGGGGAGGCCACGCCATGGTTCTGCTGGGGGGTTCTGGAGGTGACAGGGCTGGGGGAGGGCTGAGGGGACGGGCTGGGCTGGAAGCCCCCTGGAGACGGCGTAGGACCGGAGCTGCAGGGAGGAAACGGGAAGAGGTTTAATGAGCAGCGGCGGGCGGCGGCGAGGGGAGTGGGCTCTGAACATACCTGACTGAGTTGGGCTGGGAGGAGGGGGGCTGTGGAGAGGGCTGGGGGGGAGGCAGCATCTGAGGTGGGGCTACCTGCACAGGTGAGGGCGATGACATCATGGGATGCTGCTGACCCTGTGGAGGCAGAGATGAGACTAAACTGGTTTCCAGTTTGCAGATCTGGTCCAGATGAAGGCGCTCAGATCAAACCAGAACGCTGCTGCTGGTACAGACTGCTAGGAAGCTGCTGAGAAAGAGGCGGAGCTCAGAGCAGAACACCAACCTGCTGGGTCATCATCTGACCTCCGACCCCGGGGGCATTGTTAGGGGGAGGGATGGGGGAGTTCAGAGGAGGCCGAGGAGGTCGAGACAGACTCTGCATGGAAGCACGGATCATCTTCAGAGGGAGACAAACAGACGTTAGCGGACAGGAAACGTTGGCCGGCCACCAAACTCCGGCTTCTGCAGAGCTCTCACCTGTCCAGGTACGGCGGCTGCTGCGGCCGCAGCGGCGGCTGCATTCAGCTGCGCCTGAGTCGCAGCCTGCTGGGCCTGCTGCAGCGGCATTGCACGAGCCTGCGGCGTTCAGAGAGCAAAGCATGCAAGCAGAGGAGAGGAGAGTGAGCCGCAGCGCAGCAGCTTCTGCTCGGATGGTGCAGAGGATCAGAACTCACCTGGAAGGCCTGCATCTTCAGGTGCTGCTGCTGCTGCTGGCTCAGAGAGTTGATGGGAACAGACTGAGCCGTCATCTGACCGGCCAGAGACTGAGGCACCATCCCAGCCTGCTGCTGGGAGTGTGGAGGCATCTGTCCAGACTGAACCTGCTGCTGCTGCTGCACCATCTGCTGCATGGACTGAACCTGGACCTGGACCTGAGCCTGAGCCTGAGCCTGGGCCTGAGCCTGAGCCTGAGCCTGGGCCTGCTGCTGCTGCTGCTGATGTAGCTGCAGCAGCTGCATCCTGTTCTGATGCATCTGCAGACACAGGAAACAGCAAACGCTGAAGGAGAGGAAGGATCTGAAACATTTGGTCTATTCAAAGCATCCAGACGTCTCACAGCTTAAATGATTTACTGAAACACAAACACTGAAACACTTTCATTTCAGCCCTAAAGTCCTGAGAGCCACAGATCTTCCGGATCTAAAATTGCTAATATAAAACGGCAGGAACCCGTTTGCACCACCAGATGGCAGTGTTGCTCAATCTTTAACCTAAAATTAAAAGAGTTTGATTTTGGATCTAAACTGATCTATTCCTCTAGGATTTGGTTCAATTCTTGCATTAATCTGCATCCCAGGAGGCAGCCAACTTACCTGCTCTGCGCCTGCACTGTAAACATTGTTCCCACACCTCGGCTAACGTCAAATATCAAGCACTTTCAAGGACCGAACCAATTCCAGGACCAACGCCTACTGCAGCATTAACATCCAACCGATATGAGCTGCAGCTCCGCCTACGCAGACATGAGCCAAATAAAAATGTTTCATGTAAACATAAAATCAGAATGTTTGATAACGTGCGTTTATATAAAAGTTACGGTCCGATTATTTTAGTTTGAGTCTGAAAATATTTTCATCAGATGGTTAAACTTTGAAATGCAATAAAATACTGAATGACATGAAGGTGTTCATGTCATCGTTCTGATTGGTTAGAGTAGATGTTGGTATCAGTTACACACGGATACGTTTAGTGACGGCGAGGTCAGGCTTTGGCTTAAACAAACTGCCATTTCCTCCGGTAAGGTTGGCCTTTTCAGGTCAATCAGCTAATCTGCAGAGAAACAAGCTCTGTGTTTCAGCTAAAGCCTGACGTACGGAAAATCTGGCAAAAACTGGATCAGTTATGTTTGGTATAAGTTATGAGCACGATGAAGAACGCTGGAACACGCTGGCCAACGTCACATATAGCAGGTACTTTGAGAAATTTTCAAAACGTCCCTCCGTATGCCAGTGTCTGCCATCCTTGGACCATCAGTTCCAGCTCAGTTATCTGATGGTTGACATCCGTTCATTCTAAGTTACTCATACAGCAATCAATAAGTAACTGTAATCTAATGCTTTTTAATGCTCTTAGAAATAATTTCAATGCCATCATCAGGTACCCATGACTAATATACCATATTTTCCTGACCATAAGGCGCACCGGATTATAGGGCGCGGGTTTTATATACCGGTACATGTCCTCTACTACGTTTAAATACCTCTGCTGCGTATTTAAAAATAGAGCGGGAGCAAAACTGAGTATGTTTGTGCTTTGTTCATGTATTTATTACAAAGTATTAATCAAACCCATCAAAGTCATCATCCTCTGTTTCTGAATTAAACAGCTGCGCTAAATCAGACATGCTAATTTCCCCTTCTTCGCTGTCAGAGTCACTTTCCGTGCAGCGCGGCTCCTCGGAAATGATGCCGGCTTTTGCGAAAGCTCGAACAACAGAGCCAGCAGACACGTTAGTCCAAGCATCTACAATCCATCCGAAAACGGTGGCGTAACTTGCTTTGCCTTGCAGCTATATTTGCTGTGATCAGTGGGAATAAAGTTGTTTTAATATGTTTTTCAGTGGGAAAATCCACCTTAAAACTGGATAATAAAAGCCAACATATTCTGTCGGCAGGTTAAGTTAATTTAGGCGTCAATAAACTGTTTTTCAGAGGAGCGATCACAGATATGTGTATCATCAGCGCTGTGTCTGTCTCGCTGTCAGCTCCCAGATCAGCTTCTCTGATTGGTTGATGCGGCGCGTCCAGCAGCAAAACTCCAACTTTTCCATCTCGACAGCAGCAGTGCGTTGGCGGCGCGTCAGATGCTTAAACGCTCCCGACTCGCTGCGCCTGCTGCTCAAAACGCGCTGCGGGACCTTTTGCTGCGCCTATAGCGCGTCAACCATTGACTTTGCATGTAAACTCGCTGCTTCTGCTGCGTCCGGTTCACACCGATGTCGAGCGGTTGAACAGCGAGCACAGCGTTCATTTGTTTCACCATGTTTTTCACATCAGCTGTGAGATGGGCACGCATGGAGTCACAGATTAACAGAGATGGTGATGAAAAAAACACCTGGTCTCCTTACGTTCAGCCACTCTTTCATCATCTCCTCAATGAGGTGGTCTCAAAAGTCCGCAGTAAAACACACATAGGGCGCGCCGCACATTTTGAGGGGAAAAAAGATGTTTATATGAGCCTTATAGTCGTGAAAATAGGGTATAAAAAACATGGCAGAATCCTTTGTAATTGTTTAACTGTCGACAGGCTGCAGTCATGTCGTTTTTTTTAGCCATTTTTGTTGAAATGAGCATTTTCCCCATTCTGTAGCTTTTTCTCCACATTGAGCTTCTTTTCCAAACATTCTGCTTAACGATTAACACATGGAGCCATTATACCTGATTTATCTAACAAAACTATTTATAAACATTTTTTTAATAAAGCATTTTAAATGCCACGATAATCACATGTAATGTATTTTAATGCAAATTAAGGCCTTAATTTAAAAAAATATTTAATGATTTTTAATGACCTACAGATGCCCTGTCATAAGTCGTGGCGTCTAGCTTCTCTAAAACCTCGGAGTAACTTCTCCTCCAGACTCATCATAGGGTGAGTGTGATGGATCCTCCCTGCATTCACGCCCACCAACAAACTTCCTAGCAGCTCAATCTGCTTTCTTTTTATCTATTCTTTTATTTTTTTGGGGGGCGGGCGGCATCATCGCTGCTCCAGAAGCAATCAGCTTTACCTGATGCTTGGTAATGCCCATGAAATGATGCTCATGCAGGAACCAGGGTCAACATTTTGGACGGTCGTGTTCTAAATGATGAAGAAGCTAAAATTCATACATTCATCTAATTTAGAGAAAACAAAAAACCTTCATTGATTAATCAGAATCAGATGAGAACCGTTGAATCTAGGATGAAGGAAACAGGCGGCAGACATTAGAAACTCATCGGCGCCCAAACATCATCAGAACCTGCAGTGCATCTGAGACCAAGTTCTGAAGTTATTCTAGTTGTGATCCAGATGAGGAGTACCTGGTTCTGCTGGTGCTGTTGGTTCTGGGCCTGCTGCTGCTGCTGCTGCTGCAGCTGCTGTTGCTGCTGCAGCACCCTGAGCTGCTGCTGTTGCTGCTGGAACTGCTGCTGTTGCTGCTGCTGTTGCTGCTGCTGCTGGAGGGCAGCATTCTGCTGTTGCTGGAACTGCTGGAACTGCTGCTGCTGCACCATCTGCTGCACCGACATCTGACCGCCCACTGCCAAGGAAGGAGGGGGAAGGAATGACCCGGTTCTGAGCCCGGAGCCTTTCTGGAGTCGGCTCAAACACACAACATGCCTAAGCAGAAAGGGAGCGCGGCCCGTTCCCACGCAGCCTGCATTCACAAAGCGCATCAACAGGAAACACACTCACTGGCTTGTGGGTTTCCAGACACCCCGGCCATGGCATGCTGGCCTAACTGCATCTGCCCCATGGCCCCCATGCCCCCCACCGCAGCGCCGGGGGGCCGAGGCCCCATGCCAATGGCGCCTGGGCCCCCTCCAACCCCTGTCAGGTTATTCAGGGCATTCATGGGATCTAGCAGAGGGTAAACAACAGACAACATTATGCAGCTCCAACATGCACAGCAGAAATCATGAGCGCCGGGAATCCGGTGGAGACGGTTCCGGGTCAGAACACGGCCAAGAACCCCTGAGAGACAGCAAAGCTCCACTCACCGGGTGCTCCCATGGCCTTCTTATCTGGAACACAAAGTCATCAGTCAGTCAGTCTACATGCTTCACTTCTACAGATTCTGATGAACAGCAGGACAACCAAAGTTTAACTCACGGATGTCTCTGAAGTGGATGATGAGCCTCGCTACCAGAGAGAGATATTCCTCCTAAAACACACAACAGGCACCATGGAGGATCATTTGTCTCTTTCTGCAGCTTTACTCACATTAGATTGATTCTCACAGGAACAACAGCTTTTAGCATAAAAAAATATAAACAATGACACTTTCCACCAATCTGTCAGCTTCATCTCCTGACGTGACTCACTCTGCTCTTGGCTTTGAGGAAGACATGGTTCTCCATGTCGGTCCCTGACTTGTGTGTGGTGTTTCCAGATCCAGCCTTTCTCATGGCATCTTCACTGAGAACCAAAATAACAGATCACACCTTAAAAACACGCAGAATATTCTACCAAGGGATCCTAACTAAATGAACATCTCTGTTGGATAATGAGATGTTCATTGGAAAACTCTTCACTGTGATGTTATTCTAATACATTTTACTAAGGTCCACATCTGTGTGACCATTTTTTATATGATCGTTTTGCTGTAAACATCAGAATTTCCCCATTGAGGGACAATAAAGGGATTTTCTATCCTATTCTAACAGGTTCTCTGGGAGACAGCTCTGGAATAAGAGAAAGAATTAAGTTATTCATAACATTTGCAAAAATAATAATAATAAAATATGTTTGATAATATTTTTAAGACAGTCCTAAAAGGAGCATTTTTTTTTTGTTCCTAATATTTAAATGTGAAACATGAGAGAAGGGCTTCCTGTGATTTAGGAGGAAAATGCTGAAAACCATCAGTTGTTCTGAGTAAAAATTATTTCAGCTGAAAATGTTTTTAGTCATTAAGTTGGTTTAGATTAAAAGCCCTGTTTATATTTTCAGTCAATTAATCATGACATAGAAACCAATGAAAGTGTAGCACTGAATAAAAACAAGCACAGGAATGTTGATAAAAATCTACAGTTTAACAAAAATGTCCAGTTACGATTAAACATAAGATTGTTATTCATTATAATTCTTAGTTTTTCTTCTAAAAATGAATATATATTTCGGATTAACACCATAACAGACTCCTCTGTTGGAATTTATAAAACATGAATTAGGATGTGAAGCTACTATTTATAGCATTGATTAGCCACAGCAGCTAAACATGCTAACTACTAAAACTGGTCTGAAAACAACACTTTTATCTCTGAAATTAAAATCCCAATAAACGCCTTATTTGTTCTCTTAGAACAAGTTTAAACAGAGTGAGATGAGAAACAAGCTGATTCTGAATTGTGTAAGTTAAATCTAGACCGTTTATGTCTATTAGCGGCTAGCTAAGCTAATGCTAACCTAGCCGATAGAAACAGAACGAATTAGGAAAAAGAGAATCAAATTTCTCACATCTGAGCAACGACTTTCTGTCGGAACTGAGGGCTCCTCCACTCGCTGTCGGCCGCAGGGACATCCATGGCTGAAGAATGACCCCAAACGGAGGAGTTATTTCTCGGATCGGAGCTTTTCTTCTTCTGTCTTCCGCTACAGGAATAACGCTGCCGGCGGTTCTTCTTCCTCTTATTATTTATTTTTATTGGCGGTTGGCAAAAAACGTTAGGTGAGCATTACCGCCACCAACTGGTATGGAGTGTGGACTACATGGCAGAAAAAAAAAAATAAATAAATAAAAAAAAAAAAAAAAAAAAAAAAAAAACTATACCCTATTATACAACCTAATCTGTTTCAAAAATTCAAATATAACCCGATATCCTCTGCTTCCTGATTCCTTCTGCAATAAATCGACAATGTCAAGTTTCATTTTCATGTCACTAAGTTTCCTTATTAACCTGTTTCTCTGTATCGAATATTTACTACAATTTAAAATGACATGTTCCACAGTCTCATCTTCCCCACAGTCACATTTCCCTGTCTGATGTTTCCCTATCAAAAATAACGATCTATTCAATCCAGTGTGTCCTATTCTAAGTCGAGAAATAATAATCTCTTCTCTCCTGTTCCTTTCTGATCTTCTCATTGGTCCAATTCTCTTTTGTATTTTATAAAGCCACCTTCCTTTCTTTTCTTCATTCCATAACTTTTGCCACCTCTCTTTTGCTTTTTGTTTAATTATACCCTTTATTTCTGTTATACAAAAACTAACATTAATGTCTACCCTTACCTTATTGGTACTCTCCTTAGCCATCCTGTCTGCCCTTTCATTTCCTTTTATCTCGTTATGTGCCGGAACCCAAACAAAATTTACCACTAGCCCCATCATATTTATTCTGTAAAGTGTTTGTTGTATTTCAAGTAATATATCTGGTCTACTGACTGACTGATTATTTTGCAAACTGACTAATGACGAACTGGAATCTGAGCAAATGATAGATTTTAATGGTCTTACCTCTTCCACCCATTGAACTGCTAAAAGCAAAGCTAGCATTTCACCGGTATATACTGAAACTCCATCACTAATCCTTTTTCCAACATTAATATGAAACTGTGGTATAATAAATGCTATCCCTACCTTATTAGCAGTATTTTTTGATGCATCTGTATATATTTGTATATAATTATAATAGTTATTTAAGTGTTCTTGTACTATATATTTATTCATAATATGATATTTATCTTTTTCCTTCTTTTCTAATAATGAGAGATCAACTTTAGCATCAGGAAGTATCCAAGGTGGAATTGCTGTTATTGGAACTGTCTGACATATATCTAACTGATTTAAATTAATTTCATTAACTTTAGTGTTTATTACCCATCCAAAGCTCTTTAATTGTTTCTTTTCCTTTTCCCATCCAGGTTTAAGCACCTCTAATGTTGGATGATCCTTCCTTTGTCCCTGTAAATTTGACCAGTAGGTTTAAGATAATTGATCCCTTCTAACTTTAAGAGTCTTTTTTCCCATTTCAACCTGTACTGCAGCTGTTGAAGATGTTTTAAAGCGCCATTACATATTCTTAAAGCCTGATGTTGGATAATATTTAACTTATGGTGGTTTGTATCTGCTGCTGAGTACATCCATAGTCAAAGACCTAATCAACCCAGTATAAATTGCTTTTAATGAATTTCTATCAGCTCCTCACTGTTCCAGCTAAACACCTCATTATATTTAATACCATCCTATATTTGTAGATTATTTTCTTAATATGTCAATCTTTCAAACCACATTCCAAGAAATTTAAAATGTTTAATTCTTTCCAAATCTTGATCATATAATTTTAAGTTAGTTTTTTCACCAACTCTTTTCCTTGTAAAAAACATTATTTTAGTTTTCTCTACTGAAAATTTAAAACCCCATTTATATGACCATTTTTCTACAACTGAAATTGCTTCCTGAAGTTTCTTTACAATAAATTCCAAATTTCTTCCTCTTTTCCACATTGCTCCATCATCTGCAAATAATGAGAATCCCATTCCACCCTCTATTTCTTTAAACATATCATTAACTATCACTGAAAATAATAACGGACTTACTATACTTCCCTGTGGTGTTCCATTTTCAATTTTACAACTCTCAGAATAATCCTCCCCTATCCTCACTTGTATTCGTCGATCTTCTAGAAAATTTTTAATCCATCGAAACATTTGACCATTTATACCCATTCTTCTAATTTTAATTAATAACCCTTCCCTCCACATCATGTCATATGCTCTCTCAATGTCAAAAAATACTGCCACAACACTTCCTTTATTCACTTGTGCCTTTCTAATTTCATGCTCTAAACACAAAACTGGATCCATTGTACCTCTACCTCTTCTAAAACCACTCTGATAAGATGATATAAGTCCCTTCTTTTCAATATAATATATTAATCTTTCATTTATCATTCTCTCCATTATTTTACATAAGTTGGATGTTAAAGCTATTGGCCGATAATTTCCTGGTTTTGATTCATCTTTCCCTGGTTTTTCTGATTGGAACAATCACGGCCTCATTCCAACTCTTTGGCAATTCCCTATCTTCCCATATCCTATTATACATTTCTAATAAAATATTTTTAGAAGATTCACTTAAGTTGCTAATCATAACATAATAAATTTGATCTTTTCCTGGAGCTGATAATTTATATTTTTTAAAAGCCCTATTCAGTTCTGTTATTGTAAACAACATGTTCAACGGTTCATTTGTATCTTCTATTTGCTGTAATAAATACTTGTTCTCCAAAATAGTCTTTTCTCTCCCTTTTTTCCCTTCTTGACTAATATTTTCAGAACTATGAATTTTAACAAAGGTATTTACCAACATTTTTGCCTTTTCTCTGTCAGTAACTGCTGTTATTTCTCCTTCATTTAATATTGGATATCCACTCGTTCTTTTAATCCCATTCATCCTTTTAATTGTTGCCCACACCTTAGAAATATCTGTCTCCCTCCCTACTGAATTACAGAAACTCCTCCAATAATCTCTTTTTGCATTTTTAATAATTCTTCTTACATTTGCTTGTAATTTCTTGTAGTTAGTCAGATTCTGAAAATTGTGATTTCTTTTTAATAATTTGAAAGCTTTATTTCGTTTCTTGATAATCTCCTTACATTCTGATGTCCACCAGGGCACCAACCTTCTTTCCCTTCCCCCACCTTTCTTCCTTATAGCCTGATTAGCAGCTTCTAAGATAGCATTACATATAGAAACATTTATTTCATCAATACTACCACTCATATCCACTTTTAACATTTTCATTTCACTACAATTCCTAAAAGTTTTCCAATCTGTTGACCTAAAACACCATTTCTTTATCCCTTTTATACAATACCTTTCTATATTTAACTTTATTTCAATCAAAATAGGATAATGATCACTTCCTATAGTTGTTTTATTGATTACTTGCCATAAACAAACACCTGCTATAGAATTTGAAACTAATGATAAATCAATTGCTGACTCTGTATTATCTCTAAAATTGATTCTGGTTCCACTTCCATCATTTAGACATACCAAATTTTTAACATCCATTATTTCTTCTATTATATCCCCATTTTGGTCATTATGATTACCCCATAATGTACTATGTCCATTAAAGTCCCCACACCATATAACCTTACCCTCTAAATACACCCCAAGTTCCTCCATTAAATCTATTGAAAGTCTTTTACATGGATTATAGAAGTTGATTATTTTAAATGGCCCATTTACTGTCCAAATTTCAGTAACGATGTATTCTAAATCTTTACCTTTAGCCAGTAATCTAAATTGAATTCCCTGTTTTATGAATGTTATACACCCTCCTCCAGATCCTCCCTCTCTGTCTCTTCTTATGCTTTCATATCCTTTTATAACAAAATCAAGATTTATTTTAAGCCAAGTTTCCTGAATACATATAATATCTAGATCTTCTTTAAATTCTTTAACAAATCCTTTAAACTCTTGTCCGTTTGCAATAAGGCTTCTAGCGTTCCATTGTAAGATGTTCAGATTTTGTCTTCCTGTCCTCCTGCCTTTCCTTCTGCCCCTAGTCTCTTATTTATGTGTTCCCAGGATATGTCCTTTTTACCAAAAAACCTCTCTGCCCCTTTCACAATTATTTTTGATTTTTTCTGTTTTTTGTTTAACTTGATCCGTACAATTTATGACATATGCAATGAACAGCAGAATATTTTCAATTGTTAGCACATTTTCCATCCCACTCTGTTTTTGTTCTGGTGTTGGATTTGACTGAACTTTCTTTATCACTTCTTTTGGCTTCACTCTTTTAGCAGCTTCTGCATAACTTATATTACTAGTGACTTTTACTTGTTCGATTTCCATTGCTTTTCTTCTGACCTCACATCCCCCATAAGTCACTCTATGTTGCCCTCCACAATTACAACAAGTTTCCTTCCCATTTTCACATTCATCATAGCTATGCTCTCCTCCACACTTTGGACATCTTTGTTTTCCCCTACATGCTGCAGCGATGTGTCCATATCTCTGGCATTTATAACACCTGAGAGGCGGAGGGATATATGGCCTTACAAGAAAGCACATACACCCAACTTTTACTCTTTCAGGAAGAACATTTGTTTGAAACTCCAACATTACAGAGAGACTTTCCACTCTTTCACCTTCAACTGTTCTCATCAATCTTTTAATTTTGCTTACTTTTCCTCCATAAATACTGCATCGGAACTTTTCCAGATCTTCCTCCACCGGAATACCTGTTATCACCCCTCTTACTACTTTATCCTCTCCCACAATCTTTACCTGTGTAATATTTTTTTTACAAATACTCTGGGCACTCATTACTTTTTTCTTCTGTTCTTCATTTCTTACTGTAACCAACAGATTTCCATCTCTAAGGATCTTAGCAAATGTCATCTCTCCAAACTTCTTTTTTAGCTCTTTCGACAGAGCTAATGGACTGAGATGAATACCTTCATCCTCCTTCCTAAACTTTATTATTAGTTTAGCTTCCTCACAAACAATCCTCTTGCAAACTGCATTATTTTCATCCGAACTGTTTCCTTCAAGACTCCGTTTGCTACTTTGTCTCTCTGACACATTCCCTTCTCTTCTCTCTCTTCCCGACCCTCTACTACCATGCACAGGAGTCCAGCCAACTAAATCCATCTCATCATCTCCTTCATCC